TCCCATAAAACTAATAGTCCGTTAAAACTCCTAACGGATGTTGATGGTGTTCGAATTCGCACCCTCTAGATTTTCTCCGGAACCCTAATTTGGATGTTGCCAGAAAATCCCCCACTCGTCGGAATCGGATAGTGGCGGCAAAGTTTATAAGAGATGAAAGTCTATAGAAAGTAGAAAAATATATTTTTTAGATTATTGATTTCGCATGTCTCTTCAAGGTTTATTACATGAGTATTGATTTGGTCTGTTTTGCTTCTTCTTCTTGGATGAGTGATGGGTCTTCCTCCTCAGGAGATGGGGGTTTCAAGAACCAAGGTACCTGCAACGCCGGGAGGGGTTCCCTGCGGGAAAGCTCCGACGGTCAAGTCAGTGAAGGATCCAAAGAAATGATCTTAATGTTACCGTATGTATATGTATGTAGATATGCGTGTATGTGTGTATCTTTTGTTTTCTGGGGTCCTCATTTTATAGATGACCTACCTTGAGCTTCAAGTTTTCTTTTTTCTAGGGTTTCTCTTTCTTAGGTTTGTTTCTTGGGCCTCAAACCTATAATTTGGGCCTTCTAGGTTTGGACTTGATTCTTTCTCATCTCGTTGTATATCTCCCTCAAGTGTTTATACCTCGAGGTGTGACTTACCACACCCCTTATGATCTAGTTCCTCGCACAAGGTTTGACCCTTCCTTGCTTCGTGTTTATTCACTTCGGCCGAAGTGGCCCGTATTAGGTTTTTATAGGGATCTCTCTTTCGGAATTAATCCAATAATTAAGCAAACGTGTGATTTCTTCCTCCTCCGCCGAATCTTCTTATTTTCCTTTATTAGAATATTTTGCATAATCTTCGGCCCAAATCCCCCACCTTATTCGCCTCGTTACTCAATCGTGCTTTCGAGCTCATGGGCCTTGTTCCCACAATCCGATCTCATCAGCGACCTCGCGGCTTTCACTCCCAACCCTTTACTTTATTTCATATAAATATGTGGGCCGAGTTCAGGTGAAGGGCTAGTTGGGCCTTATCATCTCACGACCTAGTCCGCTTGTCTTCATCCCAGCTCGCTCATGACCCAATCCATATTACTTTTATCCACTTGTTGTAGCCCAACCCGACAAACGGACAAATTGGCCCCTGGCCCCCAGATGTATAAAATTATCCTTTTATTAAACAAACTATCTATGAGTAAATTACGGGTACCCGTCAGGTAACACAAAATATTACATTCACCCCCCTTGGTATACCATATTTACCCCTTGGGAGTAGGTTTGAAAATTTATAACGAATATTTCATTAAATCTTCAAGATTTCGTTACTTATATCTCTGTGATGATGTAATTGTAAAAATGAGAAATAGCTCAGTGGATATTTTCTAATTACCAATATCACAAAATTTTTTTTAGTTATTTAGTCTTACTTCAGGGAGTTGTCTGTAGTTTACCCAAACATCAATTTTCAATACATTTGGTCCACCTAGTCCGTTAGCAACTAACGGGAAAATGTCACGCGCACTTGACCCCCAATTTATCTGAATTAAGGCAAAACGAAGGAGAATTGCATTTTGGTCCATAATATTTTGCCCGATTTCACTTTTGGTCCATAACTGTCGTTAGATTTATACATGGGTCATTATAACCTGAAAATGGGTATTTTCGTAAATAAACTTCAAAAAACCATATTATATTTTCCCTCAACCCCAACCAAATCATCCCACATTATGCTCCGACACCAATTTGCAGAATGCGCCAATTTCTTACCCTACATCAATATGGTAAACCATCAGCTCAGAGGAAAAGTTGGTCATGCATTACATGTTTGTTTGGAGCTTGAGCGCGTCGTCAGTGTGAAGGAGGTCTTTGCTAATTTTTGCTAATTATTTGAACATGAATCTTAATTTTGGAAATTATGCATTAAACATGGGTGGTCTGTGCAAAAACACATAGTGTGTTTTATCCACTCTGGAACAATAGAAACTAAAATCGAAGTTTGGTCAAACATTATGGATCAAAAGTATGATTGTCCCAATTTAGACAAATTGGGAGTCACGTGCGGTGCACGTGACATTTTCCCATTAGTTGCACAAATGTGAAGTGTGGGATAGAGTGGACCAAATGAGTAAAAAATATACTTTAACACCTAAGAACAGCGAGGACAAAAAATAAAATCAGGCAAAAAAATGTTCGGTTAATAGTTATTTTGCCACTTAAACTTCACATTGTTTTGCACATTGCCCCATGAACAAAATAAAATTGCACATGACCCCTGAACTTAATAAATTGAAGCACATTGCCCACAAATTTGCCATTCTTGGGAAATTCTAGCCGGAATTCCACATGATAGGATCAGTTTCTCTTCAGAACAAATCTAATTCGCTGTCCAGAGCAGACCTTTTAAATTTGCCCATTTTTGGGATTACCACCACAAAAAAGAAAAAAAGAAAAAGGCTGCGGCTATATGCAAGACTAATTCCACTTGTGCAAGACCAAATTAAAATTTTCAATGTATAAATACTATAAGAGTAAAAAGCAGTTTGCCCCCTAAACTATGGGCCGATTTGCACTTTACCCCCCAAACAAAAGAAATTTGCACGTTTTTTCCTGAACTCGTTAATTCGTTGCACGGTGCCCCCTAAACTCAATTTTCCAGCAATTTTAACCGGAATGTTAAAACATGTGCTTTGCACGTGAGATTTTGTGGGGTAAATTCGTCCCTTCACTTGTATCTTTAATAACAAATGCAAATAAATATTAAATAAAAAAAGAAAAAAGAAAAAAAAAAGAGAAAAAAAAGTTGTCATCCATCCGACCATCACCCAGGCTCCTTCCCAAAAATCCATCAGACCATCACCGACCTTCTTCCCAAAAACCCATCACACCATCACCCATCTTCTTCCCAAAAATCCAATTCATGCCTGCAAAAAAAAATCTCAAACACTAATTTAAAAAAATTCCAAAATTCTCCGATGGAATTACTTCGGCAATTGCTTGGGTGGCAGAATAGCGAAAATCGAGCACAAAACACTTGTAGGGGAAGAAGGGTTTGTAATTGCTGCAGATGCTATAACTTTGTGAATCCGGTGGAATTAACCGGTGACGGTTTTATCTGAAATCGATCGGTGCCGTTTTGGTTGGTTTTACTGCTATGGCGTCCCCTTTCCTGCAAAATCTCAAACGCTGCACAATTTTACCCTGCAGCATCTCCGGTGGAACAAGGACGGTCAATCCAGCGGCGGCCACCCCCACCGCTGCCCCCGCTCCGTCAAATCTCCGTCGAGGAGACCTAGCCCTTCCTCCGCTTCTCCTGTTCGCCGGTCTCCTTTCCGGGACTCCGTCTCGTCGACACAGCCTCGGTATCAGTCTCCGCTGCGAGATTCGGCTGCTCCGGCGTCGCCGCCGTCGCCGCGCAAGTCTTCGGATCAGTTGAGAAAGAAGTCTCCGACCGGCGGAGAATCATCCAAATCGTATCAAGTCGGAGGATTTTTGAAACCCTCGCCAATTGGTGCTGGCGGTAATCGTGTACGGCACTTCCCCAGCCCTGATTTCGCTTCGCCGCCGTAGCCTTCAGGCAAGGGTAAAGCTTCCACAATTGAGCCCCGAAGAAATCATCATCCGAAGAATTCGCCCTTCGATAATCCAAGGAATGGGGTTTATTCCACAAATTCGAGACGAAACCTAAGGCGAAAGAAGCCGATGCATCTGGATATTAAAAACAGGGTGAATAACAAAGACGAGGTTTTGGAGATTGGGTCGTCTCTTCCGAAGGCGAAGGGAAGAAGAAGACTCAATATATTTTTCTCTTTTTTAGTTTTTTGTTTTTTTTGTTTTTATTTCTTTTTTTGTTTTTTGAAGATTAATTTATATCTAATATACAAGATACAAGTGAAGAGACGAATTTACCCCTCAAAATGTCACGTGCAAGGCACATGTTTCAACTTTCCGGTCAAAATTGCCGGAAAATTGAGTTTAGGGGGCACCGTGCAACGAATTAACGAGTTCAGGTAAAAACGTGCAAATTTTTTTTGTTTGGGGGGTAAAGTGCAAATCGGCCCATAGTTTAGGGGGTAAACTGCTTTTTACTCATACTATAATACCCTTATTTATTAAAAAAATAAAAAATTCCAAATATGTAAGACCAAAAATTCAAAAACACAAAAAACCCTATCACAAGACCACAAAACCACAAGACCAACTCTCATCTTCTCCATCTTCCAAAACCCACAAGACATTTCTCCTTCCTCCTCCATTAACCCACAAAACCTAGAAATTCAAAATCATCAAAACTCAACAAATCTTACAAAGATGGCAAGTATGGAGTCAGAAGACATCAAAATAGAAGATTCTACGATGGAAGAACCCAAGAATGTATGCATTTATGGGTTTTCTTTAGCTAGAATATCGATTTCCCAAAAAAAATCCCGCGCAAACGAATTCGACATGTACATGTCGAATTTTACAGGTAAAAATCGACATTTAGATGTCGATTTTGAGGTATAAAATTCGACATTTAGATGTCGATTTTGAGGTCTAAAATTCGACATTTGAATTTGTGCTATAAATTCGACATGTCAATGTCGATTTTTACCTATGAAATTCGACGCTTAAGTGTCGATTTGGAGCATAGTTTTTCGACACCTTGGTGTCGATTTTTGTTTTTTTCTCATTATTTGTATTTGGTCTTACATGAGAAAAAAAAGCCAATTTAATTTATGGCCATACTTGTCATTCCATCTTAATAAAATAGAATCTTTTGGAATCTTTCTTTAATTTGGTCTTGCACAAGTGAAATGAATATTGCATATAGCCGCAGCCAAAGAAAAATTGATTCCACCTAAACTTAATAAGTTATGCCACATTACCTTTTTTTGAATTTTCAGGCGAAAATTGGCGGAATTAGACTCATGTGCTTGCACATGCGGTTTGGATCGGAGTTTTGGGTGCAATATGCCAAACAAATCTTAATTTGAAGGTGCTATCTACCATATTTTTAATCTAAGGGGACAGTGTCAAACATGGATAATTGGAGGGTGCAAAAGTGCGAATTACCTTTTGAATTTTCCATAAAAAAAAAAAAAAAGAATTCCCTTTTGAATCGGAGAATAGTTATTTAAATATCCTATCAACCTTTCAACCTAATTCTTCTTTGAAAACCCCATCGGTGCTCTACAAATCCTATTAAACTCCTAACCTAATTCAGGTAGAATTAGAATCGGATCGCAATTTTGCTTCCTCGCTATTTCAGAACCAGCACAATTCAGTTCCATCTAATTTGTGCTTGTCCTTTGTAGAAAGAATTGATTTTTTTTTTTCTTTTTATATATATATATATCTCTTCCTGTTGAACAAATTTTAATCTGTTTGGTTATTCAAAGAAGTTTTTCATAAGCCGATCGATCAAAAAGCTGGTAAAACTTTTGCCCAAATCAATTCACCCAAACTTGTTGATGAGATGGAGGTGAAGAAGCACAAGGCGGATTTAGATACACAAAACCCAAGAAAAAGACAGCGGATACACAAGGTTTGTAATGGATTATTTATTTATTTATTTATTTATTTTTTTATGCACGCGGTTGTGGTTTGATTTATTCTGTTTCATAAACTTTTGCTTGCCACGATATACATATCAGGGAACTGCGATTGAAGAGTTGCCTGATGATATCATTGTTGCCATACTGTCGCGTATGAACATCAAAGATGCGGTTAGAACAAGTGTTCTCTCTACTAGATGGAAATATTTATGGAAGTTTATGTCTGTCACATTGGAATTTCATGATAAGGATATTGCCACTAGGAAAAAGTTAGAAGCTTTCGTGAATCGTGTCCTCGAGTTGTATAACCGTGTTGATAGTTTGGTTATTCGCTTTTCTAATACACGAAAAAAGACTGAATCTGCTGCTATTGATAAATGGATATATTCCGCCATGCTTAAGCAAGTAAAAATATTTGAATTGGATCTGTCGGCCGATTGTGGCTTTCATTGCAGCTATGAGTTTCCTAGCTTTATAAAATTGGTAACACAATTTCATCGTGAGAAGTACCGTCCAATTTTACATAAGTTGAGGTGTATTAGGAGCTCCCTAAGATACCTTAGTGGTTTTCGCTCACTAAGATCGATCCGATTGGTTGACGTGGATATACAGGATGAGATGGTTCACTATTTTCTAGACTCGTGTCCTTATATTGAACAGTTATGCATAAGGGCCTCCGATGCTACAAAAGATCTTCGAGTTGTTGATCCATTGCCAAACTTGAAGGAATTGAAAATATCCGACTGTTGCAATCTCCAAAGTCTGGTGATATCTGCCACAAATTTGAAGGAATTGAAAATATCCGACTGTTGCAATCTCCAAAGTCTGGTGATATCTGCCACAAACTTGAAGGAATTGGAAATATCCGACTGTTGCAGTCTCCAAAGTCTGGTGATATCTGCTATGAATCTCGTGTCGTGTACATACCAAGGAAGAGAAATCAAATTGTCATTCAAGAAAACTCCAAACGAGCTAACTCTCGGTGGGGTGTTTTGTAAGTCCTTCATTTATGAACCTAACAAACACTCCACTTATTCAGATCAACTGGTGAAGCTTGTATTGAATCTTCAAACTGAGAATGTTCAGATGGAGGTATGTGCATCACATCATTGAACAATCGATCTTAGCGACCACGACAATAACTAACATTTTTCATGTTTTTTCGCCTTATTTTCTTTAACAGAGCATTGAGAGACCAATTGCTCCTCCTGATTTTCATCAGTTTAGAGCTCTGAAACAGCTGGAACTGAACATTGTGTCGAAAGTTGACCGAAGCCTTCTTTTTTTCACATCGTTGATCGAGGCATCTCCTCACTTACACGAGTTTAAACTCAAGGTGATTGTTTCAACTTCATACGAATGAGTTCCTTTGCCATTTTTTTTTTAATATTTTTTTTATCATGAATCCTGCTCTTACCTATTGAGGTATTTTTCATTCTGGCACACAGATAGACTACTTGGTGTCCCGCCCATGGTTTTTTGATTTTGCGGTACTTAATTCAACTCTGAATTTTGTCAATCTCTTTCTGTTTTTCTATTTTAATATATAATTTTTAAATTTCCGTTGCAATTAGTACTCCGCTCTTGGTTGTGACAGATAAAAAGCATGATACCGTTTCCCGAAGTAACTCCGGAAGAGGCAAAGAGATTTGATCATAAAAACCTGAAGATTGTGAGAATGGCCGGTTATTGTGGGTGTGCAAGTGAAGAAAATTTCCTTGTGCATTTGCTTGAGAATTCCCCATCAGTGGGGACCGTTTTCATAGATACAGATTGTGATTATTATTCGGACCATTGGAACAACTTTGTGGTCATGTATAGACTTAGAAAAGATGGGAACTATCCGATGATCAAGCCCGGGAGAGAGACAAAGCTAAAGGATAATGAGGTACCCGCACGGTCCGATTCAAGAACGTACATCGAGAAATTTAAAACCGATCACTACCCATTGGGTGACAAGTTATTCACCCAATTTGATGCCAGACGTCATGCCGGGAAATTGAGATCCAGATTTACGTCGCCAATAGTTTTTTTTATAACATAATTTGTGTGTGCATGCTGCCGTAATTTTTTTTTATTCATGTTTTGAAACACAATTTTGAACCGGGATTTGAGAAGCATTGTCGTGCATTAACGATTACTTTTCCAGACTTACGCCTGTGTTAGTTCGTTTCGATATGCATACCACACTTTCAAGAAAATACATTTCAATTTTGAACACAAGTACTTTATGCATAGGACACTCAACTATTATATATTTTAACTATGGCCCCTGAAAAAAAAATATATTATTATGATGAGGGACCCCAACAATGAAATGGAATTTATATTTTTATATAAATAAAGGAAAAAAAATACACACGGAGCCAAAATATTACAGAAACAATAATACAATAATTAATACTTTCAATATTTCTACTTAAGATTTATATATAAAAAAAAAGAGTAAACTGCAAATACTACCCCTGTGTTATCTCGAAATAGCAGAATCCCCCCTGTGATAAATAAACTAGCAAAAACCCCCCTGTGAAATTTAGTCAAAGGCAGAATCCCCCCTAGCTGATTTTTTAGACTTGAAATGACAAAATTGTCCCTCAAAATGTATTTATATATATACATATTATATGTATATTTATTCTTTTTAATTTATTTGTTTAGAAATTAAAAAAATAGTAAACAACTAAATTGATTATTTTTTAAATAAAATAATTAAAATATTTATAAAATATAAGAATTTATTAATTGCAAGACTTCAGGGGTATTTGGGTCTTTTCATATCAAGTCAACCCTCAAATAGTTCCATAGGGGGGTTTTTGCTATTTAAATAATTTCACAGGGGAGGTTTTTGCTAGTTTATTTATCACAGGGGGGTTTTTGCTATTTCAAGATTATACAGGGGTAGTTTTTGCAGTTTACTCTAAAAAAAAAACTAGGATAAATAGCACTTAAACCCCCTGTGGTTTGAGCCTTGTGCACACAACTCCTTGTATTATTTTAAACTTTGCACATGACCCCAACTTTAAAATCTCAAGCCAAAAAAGCCTATTCGACCCGACCCGTATGTCACGAATTCCGACCCATAAATTAACGTTTCACAAACTAAAGTCTTTAAACCCTTCGCTCCTCTGTTACTCGACCGTCCGTCGAGAGCCACCGCGCTCTTCCAAAATTTTCAAACATTTGGCCGCCTTCCGCCGTCGGAATGAGTAGTTGGAGAAGTCTGGTGCTTCGAATCGGAGAGAAATGCGCGGAGTACGGAGGAAACGCCGACTACAAAGACCAACTCGTCAGACTTCAACCCTCGCCTTTCTTTCAAAACCCTAATTCTGTTTTTGTACAATTTGGGAATGTGTTCCTCGTTACCTGCCAAAACTCGTTGTTACTTATTTTCTTACTGCCACTGGCCATTTGACCTAATTGACAAATCTTTTGAAGTAATATTGTTTTATTCTTCCACTGCAGGAGACTTGTTTTGGCGTGGTTCGCCGTGAATTATTGCATTCCGGTGAAGATATTTTATCTGTGAGGACTTTCCCGCTTTTTTCCTTTAATTTTGTTTGTCTTAATTTTTGTTTCCTTGAGTAATTGTAATTTGTATTGATGGCTGACGTTCTATCTCTAGAGAATAGCATTCGTTGTGAAATTTTAGAAAAATTAACAGTATGGAGGGCTTAAGAATGATGAATTTTATGTATTAAGAAGCAGTTGGAAAATATATTGTCCGCGTATACCAATCCTTAGTTAATCTGAAGTGGGATAAAGGACACGGTGTAGTATATCTTTTATGTTTCATGTTTAATCTTCATAGTGCTGAAGTTGTCTGATTTTATATGTATGTTATGGCAGTTCCTTCTCCAGTGTGCTGAACAGCTGCCTCACAAGATACCTTTGTATGGAACGCTGGTATGTTCTCTTTTACCCCCAACCCCCAATTGGAGGTTTCTTCATCTATTTTTCCATGATCTATAGTTTTATTGTTTCTCAGACTCTAACTAATCTGGAGAGTAGCCACTTATTGTAAATTGATATATTAGTCAACGATGGTCCATGAAAACATGAATCTCAGGATAGTATTGACATGGAAATCAAGTAGAGAAATGTGTGTGGGGGGATGGGTTCCATCATCTAAACAACTCATTTCCTTTTTATGAATAAATTTTTTGTATCTCTGTCAAAGTTCAACCCAAATATGTCAATCATGAAATTCAGTTGAATTGAATCCCTTTGATCAAAATGTAATGAATTCAGAGCACAATTTATGTATCCGGAGGTCTTTGCAGTGTTAGACAGCGAAGAATTAGCATATTTTGCACTTAAAATTGCTACATCAAATAGAAAAAAATTGTGATACGCTATTGACTCATAGAAACGCAAAGGCGCCTAAAATAATTTATCATCCGCATTTTCATATTCTTAAGCGTTTGGAAGTGGTTTTTCATTTGACCCTACAAATATGTTCTGATTTGTCTTTTCATATGACAGAAGTCCAATGAAATAATTTTTGGCTTTATGATATGTATAGTTGGACTCTTGGTAGTTTTTAATGATATTTCTATGTTTTGTTCATATTGGTGAGAAGCTCTCCGTACTTCAATTAAGATTCTTCTACTATTGTAGGTTGGTTTATTAAATCTGGAAGATGAAGATTTTGTGAGGAGAATTGTAGAGAATACGCACGATAATTTGCAGGTATTAATGAATTGCTTTGGAAGCATGTTAAAATGAATCTGTCATGTTGTAACAATGTTTCTGTCTCTGTCTCTTTCTTTTTCTCACACTCACACACAAATTAACACACAGTCCATATGTTTTCACACAAGACACTAGTGCACAGACGTGCATGCATGCTTAAATCCCTGTCCTGCTTCAGACCATGTAGGTTATTTTCATTGCTCTCTTAGAACACACTGCAAATTGAAACAAAATTATTGTCCTGTTTAAAAATCCTGGGTGTGTCGTTACTAAGTAAAATCGCCTTCTCTGAAAGGAAAATCCTACTGTTATTCTGCTTGTTGAGATGAATGGAAATTTGTTGATTACTCTTTTGCTGTTTGTTGATTGATATATTATTATTTGTTGACAGGTTGCTTTAGATACTGGAGATAATAACAGAGTCCGCATACTTATGCGCTTTCTGACTGTCTTGGTATGTAATTTGTTGGATCATTGTTGAATGATAAGTTATCTTTATCTTTTCGTTAGTAATTTGGTGAAGGATTGAATGTTTCTATTTTATGTTCACAACTTTGGAATTGTGAATCATAATAAAAACCTTACCAATTTGATAAATTTCTACTCCCAAAGGTATTGATGATATTGATAGTTCACATCTATGATACCCAGTTCCATTACTTATAGTCCGCTGTAGGATTGTAACTTTTCTACCCATGGATGCAAGGTCCTTTCATTATGACGGTTGTTGTGGAGGTGGGGGTGACTTCCTTTTCAAATATAAACTCGGGAATATCTTAAATTAAATTTACTGAAATCCTAGAAGTTTTGAGAAAATGTGGTCATTTATAGGGCCAATAACCTGGACTCATCTTTTGGGTTTAACCTTGATCGCTGCACAATGCTAGATCAGATTTTTGTTCCTATAAGGCATATTTGATTAATTGGCATTGCTACTTCTGTTGTGATATCTATTGGCATTGTTGAAAACATTTCTGTTCTTTCAAGTGTTATATTGAAGAAAAGCACGTCGAATAGCCACTTCTACGTGTGTCTATATAAATGTGTCTACTCTGAGCATGGTGTGTAGTAGTCTAGTTTATGTGACTGTACTCTCTGTTGCAAAACGATTTTGTAAGTGACCCATTTGATGATATGGACTTCTATTTTCTTTTCTTGGTGTGTTAAATACAGATGTGCAGCAAAGTTCTTCAAGCAAGTTCCTTAATAGTCCTATTCGAAACACTGCTGTCATCAGCAGCAACAACTGTGGATGAGGATAAGGGAAATCCCTCTTGGCAAGCTTGCGCTGACTTTTATATTACTTCTATTTTGTCATGTCTCCCTTGGGGTGGAGCAGAACTTGTCGAGGTAATTTTTTGCTTCTCTTCTCTTGATGTTCATTCCGGTCATAGAATGGAGATTACTTATCGTCATTATTTGGTGGAACTTTTCTGAGAGGGTTATGCTTCTATTTTGTCAAGTTCAAATTTGCTTTGATGAAAGAAATCCTCAATGGATAACAAGCAACAGTCACAAGCAACAGTCATATGTTTTTCTTCGTTTTGTGTTTTTGTTTTCTTAAGGAAAGCCTTTTATAGGAATAGTATTATTCTTAATTTTAGTGATTACGCAATGGTGAGTTTTCTTGAGTGCTTAAAAGTGTTTTGCATTTTCAGCAATCTCAGTATGACATGGGTTTAGGCATCTCATTTGAGCTTGTGTGCATTATGTGTTTGTAACTTTTTGGGTACTTGTGTTGCTACAATTATCAATTTGTATATGTTGTAACTTCTTTAATTTCCTAGTGAAGATGATCAATACAGTGTAAAGTTTGATAGTTTTGGTGCTTTTTTTTTTCTTTTTTTCTTTTTGAAATAATTATTCAAGTTTATTTGATTACCAGCAAATTCCTGAGGAGATTGATAGGGTTATGGTGGGAATACAAGCCTACATGAGTATCAGAAGACATGTTTCTGACGCTGGCTGCTCACCGTTCGAGTTTATTGATGATACAAGTCAGACTGATGGTGGGAAAGTATGTCTTCTATTTCTCTATCCTTTCTTGATCTGGAAATATATTACATCTTATTTTCATTTAACAGAAATTCTGCATTAATCTATAAGATAGGAAAAGAGGATACAATGAATCGTAACAAGTATATTTAGCAGATTCTCCGGTTTTAAGTTTTTATTTCGTGTACCTTGTAGGATTTCGTGGAGGATTTATGGAGCCGGATTCAAGATCTTTCCGACAAGGGCTGGAAGTTGGACAGTGGTATTGTTTTGTTTCTATTTACTTTCTTTGTCTCGTATTCTTTTCCTATTCTGTAGTTTGGGCCCTACAATGATACATCAGAATATCACAAGCATGTCTGAAATGACAGTGTGTATTTTGGATGTCTCTGTGACCGTCACTATGTTATTATACTTGGAACTCCCGGATAGCTAGCCAGGCCAGCCTATAATCTATTGGAAAAATGTAGAACATTTCAAACAAGTGAACCTTTTGGCGCACAAATATCCCTTGTCAAGTAGTTATTTCATGGTTGTTAATATTGGTGGAACTCTGCATCTTCCAATGTGGTCTTGAATAACTTTTTGTTATTAATATTGATCGAATTGTTGGAGACGTTCCATTTAAGAAGCCTATTATAGATCAAGTCTTAGCTTCAAGTGATTGAATTTATTAAAAACTAAAAAGCTCACATAGTGAAATCTAACTAGCACTTCAGTTCCCGAAGTTCTGTCAATCTAGATCATTGATTTGATATCTTTACCTTCGGAGCCGTATAGTTCATTTAAATAATCTTACTATGTGCATAATAATACATTTTATATAAATATATTTCTAAATTATTTTCTGCAATCTATTCCTTTGCAGTTCCTAGACCACACCTTTCATTTGAACCGCAGCTAGTTGCTGGGAAGTCTCACGATATTGGTCCCTTAAACTGCCCTGAGCTTCCTGATCCTCCTGCATCATTTACGGGGATTGCGTATGGGAAGCAAAAGCATGAAGCTGAATTAAAATATCCTCATCGCATTAGGAGACTTAACATATTTCCTGCTAGTAAGACGGAGGTAAATTGTACTAGATTACAAAATGACATTTCTTTGTTTTCTGATGCCTTGTCTTTTCTCTTTTCATTCTTTCTTCAAAATTAAAACATTGTAGATTAATTTGATGTTTTAAATGCTCAGCGTAAGCTCTTTTTGGCCTGTTTTATTTGCAGTAATTTCTGCTATTTCTCATGAGTTGTTTCCTTCCTGATCGATTTTTATTTCAGTTGGTTATTTTTATGGATTATCATCTTTTCCCATTTGGATGAAATTTTCACATCACTCTTTTGCTTCTCTTTTCCATTTGACTTTTGCCTCCATGAAAATTTGATGGAGTTCGCTCTATTTATCACAGTTAATTTCAGTATTGAATTGACTGTTGATGATATTCCATTTACAAGTGAACATCATTGACATGGTAATTGGTCATAGTTTAACAAACATGTTTCTGTTCACCAGGATTGAACCTTAGTGCCTATAAGTTACCATGATTTAACATGTTAGGACATCTGAAAAAAAGATTCTCAAGTAGAAATGGCTCTCCTTTTGGCTTTACATGCATTGATAAGTATTTTCCTTAATACACTTCTTGGTGGTTTATGCCCTCCCTTGTTCTTCTTTACAGGATGTGCAGCCTATAGATCGGTTTGTTGTGGAAGAGTATTTGTTGGACGTGCTTTTTTTCTTGAATGGATGGTTAGTAGATGTGTTGATTTTTTAGGTTATGTTTACTGCTGTAGTGCTGCGTTAATTTTTGGTATACATATCTTGCTGCTGATTCAGAAAATTAGAACATATAAATAAATGTTTTTAGTATCTTCATCTTATGGGAGTTGGTGTGGCAGCTTTCTACAATTTATTTTCTGCTTATACGTTCTCGTTTCAATTTTCTTATTCTTTTGCTTTTTGTTTCCTGCAAAGCTAGTCGAAAGGAATGTGCTGCATCCATGGTTGGCCTGCCCGTTTCCTTTCGATATGAGTACCTTATGGCTGAGACAATATTCTCTCAGGTACAGAGTCTTATTAGTGTTTGTTTATTCATTTATTTTTGTGTTTTTGTCTTGATTGAATCCGATATCTCTTACTAATATTTTGCTGAAGCGACTTTATCAAACAAAAAGTGGGTAGTATGTGACTGCACTCAATTGAGGGAGGGGAAGAGTGCCATGAGTGCATCTTGAGACACAATGAACTTTGCTTTAATTTGTATCAGTTGTTTCATATGGTGTTTGTCTTTGTAACGTGCAGATTCTCTTATTGCCCGAACCTCCTTTCAAGCCCATCTATTATACGTTGGTCATTATGGACCTCTGCAAGGTGCCCACTTATATTCCCTATTTGACCCCGTTTGTCATTGTCCATGACTGCCACCTTTATCTTGTAAAGCGTAATTTACAACTCTATTAGGCTATCTAGCATCTGTCTGGTGTTTTAACTGCGAGGTTACTTCCAGGCTCTTCCAGGTGCCTTTCCAGCAGTTGTAGCGGGGGCTGTTCGTTCTCTTTTCGATAAAATTGCTGATTTAGATATGGAGTGCCGAACACGTCTTATCCTTTGGTTTTCACACCATTTGTAAGTCAGAAATCTTCTCATACAATGTAGCCTTAGTTTGCTGTAAATGTTGGTTAGAAGTTTGGCTGTGCTTTTTCTATAGGTAATATGTTGTTACCTTTGATTTTCCGAGGAAAGCATTACAGAGAAGTGTTGGAGTATGTGTGTGTTGATGTTAAAACTATAATGTGTAAAAAATAAGTAGAGGTGGGAATTTGGGTTTACATTTCCCGGTCCAGACCTGTCCTTCCTTATTGTGTAAACCTGATCGGACAGGCCGGGTACTGATTCGTAAAAGACTACCCTGTTTTTGATGGGGAGGTTATTATTTTTCAAGAACCTAACAAGCACCTGATATAGAAGGCAATTAGCCAAAGAGAGTAATTATTGGTAGATATTTGGAAATCTTCATTGTCAGAGTCTTTCATGCATTGTCTTTTAAGAACATAGTAAATTATTTAGGTTGATAGTCGATTTTAAACGTACCATTTTATGCATGCCAACCTATAATGGAATATCAATCTTAAGAGTTGTTTCTCCTGCTCCATCTTCTTGGTTTTGTTGGTAGATCAAATTTCCAGTTCATTTGGCCTTGGGAAGAATGGGCTTATGTCTTGGACCTTCCAAAATGGGCCCCACAGCGAGTGTTTGTTCAGGAGGTTTTGGAAAGGGAAGTACGCTTATCATATTGGGAGAAAATTAAGCAGGTATATATGTCATTCATTATTTACTTTGGTTGGACTCTTGTACCCTGCATCTAGAATTTAATCAGTAATATATTTTTAAATTATGATTGTTCTTTTTTTTTTTTCGTAGTTGCAAAGTTGTGAACATATACTTGAACTTGAGATGTGAATCATATATCTGATCTCAATAGGTTAACTCTAATTGTTTTACGTATGATGTAGGGCTTGTGTTTCATTAGTCTATTTCCGATCCATGTTAGATGGTGAAGTATATGCTTGTTTTGCATTAATTTGTAGGTATTATATGTCATATGGTTTTGCATGATATACATTTTTCCGCTCTTAGTTCGATCTGCTACAATTTTCTTCAACCGCCACTTGGATTATATGTTCCGTCCTGTGCAGATGATGTCTTTTCACAACTATGAGAGTGAAATGAATAACATCACAACCATTCTTCTATTGAACCGATATTTTGTTAGCCAAGTAATATTTTTTTTTGACCTGTGCATATAGAGCATTGAGAGTGCCCCTGCTTTAGAAGAGTTGCTTCCACCAAAAGGGACCACAAATTTCAGATACAGTGCAGAAGATGAAGATCAAACCGAGCACGGTCTCTCCTCGGAACTCAATGTCATGGTCAAAGAACGCGTGACGTCCCGTGATATTATTTCATGGATTGAAGATCAGGTTCTTCCGTCTCATGGGTTGGAGGTCACACTCAGAGTGGTTGTTCAGACACTTCTCAATATTGGTTCAAAAAGTTTCACTCATTTGATAACCGTTTTGGAGAGGTATGGCCAAGTCATTGCAAGGATTTGTTCGGACCAGGACAAACAAGTTATGCTGATTTCCGAAGTGAGTTCTTTCTGGAAGAACAGTGCTCAAATGACGGCGCTATCCATTGACAGAATGATGGGGTACCGCCTTATATCTAACGTTGCTATGTCAGATGGGTTTTCGTATCATCAAATGTTGACCAATTTCATGTTTCTGATCGCCCATGGGAGGTATAGTATACAAAATCCATTTAGCCTGATGATTGTTTCTATAAGTTAAGTTGTCCTCTTGAGTTACTCGAAGAATAACGGAATCTCTTTCATTTACAGGTCCTGAGAAATGCTGTTTCCAAGACATTCAGTCGTATCACTGATCTGAGAAAAGAGATAGCATCCCTAAAGAAGAGTGTTCAATCAGTTACAGAAGCTGCATCCAAAGCCCAGGCTGAGCTAGATGATGCTAAGTCGAAGCCTACTCTTGCTCTTGTGGACGGTGAACCGGTTCTTGCTGAAAATCCCGTGAAAATGAAGCGCTTGAATTCAAAGGTTGAAAAAACAAAAGAGGAAGAGGTCTCTACACGCGATTCTTTAGAAGCAAAAGAGGCTCTTTTTGCACGAGCCGTCGATGAAATTGAGGTATATACAAATATACAAGGTGTATCAGTTGAAATGATTATATTAGAGTTCGAATGTGTCACTTTTTTTTTTTTACTGAATTTGTTATTGATTGACGCATGCAGGCATTATTCCTCTTCTTGTACAAAAGCTTCTCTAATGTATTAGCTGCACCACTTCAAGAAACGGAAGGATCTTTGCACCTGTCCGGTAAGGCAGATGAAATGGCAATTGACCCTGAAGATACATCGACAATGGAGTTGGACAAAGAGGGTGAAATTTCCGAAAAAAGGTGACCTGTACTTAAAAATTCTATGTTGTCCTAATGTGTTGTATTTTATTGGTATTTACCGTTTTTCTTGTCTTCTTTATTTTGCCGCTTGTGATTGATTTTGAATGTATTCGTGGTGGTTGCAGTCACTCCAATGGCGGCAAGACGACAAAAGGTTATAACGTTGGTGAAAAGGAGCAGTGGTGTTTATCAACCCTGGGTTATGTCAAGGCCTTAACACGGCAGTATGCTTCAGAAGTAAGCTCTTAGTGCGCTTCCAATATTAAAAATATTTATTATTTCTTTCTTTATTCGGGATCTGATATTCGTTTTTCTTGTGGCATATGTTCAACAGATTTGGCCGCTTGTCGAGAAATTAGATGCCGAGGTATTAACAGAGGATGTTCATGTCCTTTTAAGGAAAGCTGTATACTCTGGCCTGGGCAGACCTACTGACTTTTAGCTGTTTCCTTTTTGTTTGTCGTGTAAGTTATCTGCACATGATCTGTGCGCGCGTGTGATGAAAAAACGTACACTCCAAAGAGATCTTTAGAACATTTTCAAGGTTGTAGTTTGGATTTAGATTAGATGTTCCGATGCAAGATTAATCTTCCGTTGACCGACTTGTTTGTAATGACTGTAACGAGGGTTTACATATATCAGATTCTACTCTTAATTTATTCTTGTGCAGATTCTGTGACGTGTGCATTTCGAGTTTTTTTTTCCAAATAATCGAGCAAGTAAATATTGGAAATTCGTGATAATGTCATTTTGTGTATATCATGAGACGAAAAACCTATATGCTCGGATCGAAAATCAGATTTTAATAAAAGAAATCGTTAATTTTGAAAATTGGTTTGACAAAGTAGTTCCGAAAATCGGAGTATTTTTCAAAGAAATTGATGAAATCGGAAATTCCGTTTCGATTTCAACTACGAAAAGTCGAAAAAACTAAACAAGCCAAGTGATACTATACAGTTATTTAACTGGGGAAATTTATTAAAATGAAAAAGGAAAAGCAATAAAAACCTCTAAAACCCCTTTCTCTCTCCCAAAACCACAATCCAATGCGGTGTCGGAAACTACCCAATTTCGCTTGATTTTAGCTCTCCGGCGAACAATCTACAGTAATGGAAATAGCAACAGTTCAATGCCGATCAACTCCTCACCATTTCCCACCAGAAAACCTATTTCTTCTCCGAAGAACGAACCTCTCCACCTTATCTTATCGCAATTCCAGCCCCAACCTTTCCCGTCGAAAGAGGTCCGTAATATCAGCCTCTTCGTCTTCTTCTAGTGGGCCTCAGGGCTTCTCCTGGCTGCGCCTTTCACAGTCAATTCGTCGCGGTTCTCTTAGATTTTTCCAGAATTTGGGCGATTCCGTGAAGAAAGAAACCGGGTTCAATGTGGACGATGTTCTGGTTAGATTTGACGGGTTATCGGGTAGGGCAGGAAACTCGGCCCGGAATGCCCAGGACTCTCTTCAACGAGTAAACTCCGAGCTGCTGCCTCAGTTTGTTACTTGGAATAAATGGGAAAAATGGAAGGTATGCCTCTTAGTGCCATAGTTGCTGACTAATTTATTGTAATTACTATTCCAGACGTCTTTTCTAGGTTATGAGTATGTGTTCTATTGTTTTTTTTTTTGGTCAAATTATTTTCAGGATATAAAGAACTGGGAACCAAGAAGATTAGGTGTGTTGGTATTATATATTTTTGTCACTATTTTTTCCGGTCTAAGTATATATAAAGCAATCCGAGCTCCTATTATTGAGCGTGAAAGAAGGGAATTGACTGAGGCGTACATGGACGCATTGATTCCTGAGCCTACACCGACTAATGTGAGAAAGTAAGTCACACTTTCGTGTTCAATCTTTGTTAGCTTAGCTCTTAGCGCTGAAAGTAATAACTTGTGAAACATCTTTCCTGTGTCTACTTCGGCCAATTTATGTCTATGTTAAATATGAGGTTGAAATTGTCACTTTAAGTTGGAGGTTGTCGTACTGGGAGATAAGAAATTCGACAACTCCTGAATATTTGTTAGACAACTCTTACTATTTCATATGGTGATTACTGGCAAATGGTCGCAAGTTTATATTAGATGCACATAGTTACCAAGAAAAAAAAGGAAATTTTCTTTTTTGCTTGGTCAGCTGCGTAGACATTAAATTGATTCTTCTGAATCTTCTTGCTCAGCATTTATTCTTTTCATCTTATAGATTCAAACAAGGTTTATGGAGGAAGGCTAACCCTAAAGGCATGAAACTCAAGAAGTTTGTCGAAGGACCTGATGGCACACTTGTTCACGATAGTTCTTTTGTTGGGGAAAATGCATGGGAAGATGACACTGGAAAAGCCCAAGGCAGCATGAAAGAAATAATAGAACAAGACACAAAATTGAACATGGATGATAAAAAGGTTCTCCAAGAAGAGTTAGGTTTATCAGGTTTGTTCTTACATTTTCTCTCTAAAATTAGGTTCCATTTTTAGGATTTAACATTCTTGCTCTATACCATAGTTTTTGGAATATATCTAACTCTGCACAATCAGCTAGCCTTATATCAAGGAATAGGTGAACCTAGTCGCTATAAACTTATTGGGGGTAATCTTATTATTACCTTCCTAGTGAAACATTGAAACTAGAAAGTTATCCAGTTTGTCTGAGTGCAGCATAACGAGATTTTTTAACTTATTTGATTTTATTAATTTTTCTGGGCTTTCTTATTGGTTTTTTTCTGACAGGGGATGCTGGAGGAACATGGCGTGATAGACTCGCGGCCTGGAAAGGAATTCTTAAGAAGGAAGAGCTAGGTGAACAACTCAGTTCATTAAATTCCAAATATGTGGTGGAATTTGACATGAAGGAAGTTGAGAACAGTCTTCGAAAAGATGTAGTCGAGAAGGCTAGAAATGCACAAGGAACAAGGGCTTTGTGGATTTCCAAGAGATGGTGGCGCTACCGTCCAAAACTTCCTTATACTTATTTCCTTCAAAAACTTGATTCCTCTGAGGTAAAATTTCTATCATTCTTCCGTCCCCTCTTCCTCCCTATCTTGCTGCACTGATTTTCTCTCCTGAAGAATTTATACGTAATGTTTTTGTTTTTTCCTTCAGGTTGAAGCAGTTGTTTTTACAGAGGATCTCAAAAGACTGTACATTACCATGAAAGAAGGATTTCCTTTAGAATATATTGTGAGTCCACGATTGTGTTTGTAATCCAACACTATTTTTCTCCTTGAGTTTACTTCTTCCTTAATCATGCTTTTACTTGTCTAGGTTGACATCCCACTCGATCCTTTCCTGTTTGAGGCAATAACAGGTTCTGGAGTTGAAGTAGAACTTCTTCAGAAGCGTCAGATCCATTATTTTCTGAAAGTTGTATTTGCTCTGTTGCCTGGAATACTAATCTTGTGGTTCATCAGGGAATCTCTGATGCTTCTTCATATTACCACAAACCGCCTTCTTTATAAGAAATACAATCAGCTTTTTGATATGGCATATGCTGAAAACTTTATTCTGGTGAGGGTTCTTTTTCTTTACCCAAATTTGGTGGATTTCTAGTTTGGCTATTTTTTCAGTAATATTTAATGGATTGTTCATTTCACTCAGCCAGTTGGTGAAGTTGGTGAAACGAAATCTATGTATAAGGATGTAGTATTAGGAGGAGATGTCTGGGATCTTCTGGACGAATTGATGGTATATATGGGAAACCCCATGCAGTACTACGAGAAACAAGTGAAGTTTGTGCGAGTAAGCTAATATTATCTTGCAAAACTTATGCAGTTATATATCTGAATCATAGTTTAGATACATAATGGACTATTTACTATCCTCATGCAGGGTGTGCTTCTGTCTGGACCTCCAGGAACAGGGAAAACCCTCTTTGCAAGAACATTAGCAAAGGAAAGTGGGTTGCCTTTTGTTTTTGCTTCTGGTGCAGAGTTTACAGACAGTGAGAAAAGTGGTGCTGCAAGAATCAATGAACTATTCTCAATAGCAAGAAGAAATGTAAGTTTACCATGTATCGGTATTACTATGCCATGCTGAACCTTGTGACTAGTATTGTGAAATGTGAAATGCTTCAAGGAAGAGAGAATGACCAACCAAGTCATGAGAGCAAGATTAAAAATAATGACTTTGTTATTCATTGGGCTATCTATATCTGTATCAAACCTTACACAGTAGCTAGTCAGCTGCAAATCGAACTACTCTTACAAATTTGTGTCAGCATCCTTAGTTATGAAGTTATGGTTGTTGCTATAAATTCAAAGAAGGGCCTGATCTCTCTCTCTCTCTCTCTCTCACACACACACACACACATATTTATATATATATATATATATATATATATATATATATATATATAATACTTATGAGGACACACATGAATATGCAGATAATGATAGTTGTAGGAATAAATAATCAATGAGCCACTCTTTTTTTTCCAGGCTCCTGCTTTTGTATTTGTGGATGAGATAGATGCTATTGCCGGAAGACATGCTAGGAAGGATCCACGAAGAAGAGCAACATTTGAAGCATTGATTGCTCAGCTGGACGGAGAGTAAGTGATGTAAATTTGGATCATAAATACATGTACTATTAAGACATGAAGTTTCATAGCATAGTTTGATGTGCTAATCTGACTCTCTTATACATCATCACTCTGAAAACGTGTCTACAACTTCTGTTGATTTATTAACCACCAAAATAACATTAGTGATGGGCTGTGCTAATCTACATGATTCATGTTTAAAGTTTATATCGTTTTAATTTCATTCATTCATTATATATTCGTATTTGTTCCCGATCCCTGTTACTTAAATCTATAACTCATTAGTACATGTCGTTATTTGCAGCAAAGAAAAAACTGGTGTCGATAGATTCTCGCTGAGGCAAGCTGTTATTTTCATATGTGCTACTAATAGACCAGATGAATTGGACCTAGAATTCGTTCGCGCCGGACGTATCGATCGACGTGTATATATTGGGTTACCTGATGCTAAACAACGAGTGCAAATTTTTGGTGTTCATAGTGCTGGGAAGGAGCTTGCTGAGGATGTTGATTTTGGAAAGGTGTTGTGTCCTTTTCATGTATTTGCTTTCTTTTTGTGACCTATATTGCTCGGACTTAGATTTTAGAAAAAAGAGCCAATACCTAGATATGTAACTGTATCCAAAAGTCCGAGCAACATAGTTTAAGGCTTTTTGAACATATTCAGAACAATTCCCTACATGCTACTTGTCTTAAATAGATTCTCATGAACCTATTCCTCTCTAATAGGTTGAGGGACTGCCCTGGTATGAATATAGCTAAAGATGGTTTTCATGCTTGATTCATGTTCATCACCTCTACAGGTTGTCTTCCGTACCGTTGGGTATTCTGGAGCAGATATACGGAATCTAGTCAATGAAGCAGGAATAATGGCTGTAAGTTTTGTGTGCTTCATCCAAGATAACTTATTTTTTATGTTACTGGTTTGAGTTTGCATATACTTAGTGTATTTGTCTAATTTGTTCCCTTTGCTGGCCCCTTTGGTCAATACACAGCCTTGCAGAAGGAAACAAAGAAAATTAACTACTGAACTTTTTCTTTTTTCTTTTTTTTCCCTGGATTTGTCCTTTTCTTCTTTTCCCCTTGATAATGAATATTACCTGAAAACAGGTCAGGAATGGGCATTCGAAGATCTACCAGCAAGATATTGTTGATGTATTGGACAAACAGTTGCTTGAGGGAATGGGTGTGCTTCTCACCGAGGAAGAGCAGCAGAAATGTGAACTAAGTGTACGGTTTCTTTTTCATAACACCCATATAAAGAGTAGATTATTCATAACTTATCGTATTTATGATATTATCCAACAATTTTTTAGGTATCGTTGGAAAAGAAAAGGCTTCTGGCAGTGCACGAAGCTGGTCACATAGTGTTGGCTCACTTGTTCCCTCGATTTGATTGGCATGCATTTTCTCAGCTGCTACCTGGTGGAAAGGTATAACAGTGTACAGTGTCTAATATCAGTAGATATGGGTATAAATTATTTTATTCGGACACATTTAAATGGTCTTCTAATCTGTTGTATGCACGAGCAGGAGACTGCTGTGTCTGTGTTTTACCCTCGAGAAGATATTGTAGATCAAGGTTATACTACCTTCGGTTACATGCAAATGCAAATGGTGGTTGCTCATGGTGGTCGATGTGCTGAGCGTATTATATTTGGCGATGACATCACTGATGGAGGAACAGACGATCTCGAGAAAATTACCAAGGTAACAATGCTCTCTGAGTAAAAACTGAAAGAGGAAAAAGAAAAATGGCAAATACAGTAATATCTACAAATTGGCATCTCGTTACCCTTTTTTAATTTTTTTTCAGATTGCTCGAGAAATGGTAATAAGCCCAAGAAATCCTAGGCTGGGGCTCACTGCATTGACAAAAAGAATTGGGCTGGTTGATCGACCAGATAATCCAGATGGTGAAAGAATAAGATACAAGGTATCAAGTACTTGAATACGACGAGATGGATAAGCTTGAGATGTGGCTATTTTGATTTTTGGTTTATACTGCAGATAATTAAATAACTAATTTCGCTTCACTTTTCTTGACATTAGTGGGATGATCCTCATGTGATCCCTGCAAACATGACAGTTGAAGTTTCTGAGCTTTTTATGAGGGAATTGACAAGGGTAAGTTCAATTGGCGTTGATAGTAATTTTTTTAGTAGCTACTTAATATCTCGCCCGTGACAATTTTCCCTCGCTAATAATTATCAGTAGCTGAATGAACTTTTCGAGATAAACTAATTTAGATGTGTTCAAAATCCTCATGTTACCAAGGACCGAAATTTTATATTCTATTTATTGTCGTCTCTGTCTTGTCTTATTTACCTACTTGTAGTTTCTTTTGGATGTAATAACGGGTTGCATGTTGATGACAGTACATTGACGAGACAGAGGAACTTGCTATGAAGGGACTGAGAGACAACAAGCATATATTAGACGCGATTGCCCAACAACTGTTGGACAATTCAAGGATAACTGGATTGGTAAGTTACAATCTGTCTTTTGTACGTAGCTTCCGTCTGTTTACAATTCTAAGTCGAAGAACTTCGCTAGATTTCTGAGAGTAATCTGTTTCAATTTCCACTTTTCCATATTTCTCCAGGAAGTGGAAGAAAGAATGAAAGGATTATCACCAATTATGTTTGAAGATTTTGTGAAGCCTTTCCAGATTAACTTGGAAGAGGTATATTCTAATTCCCATTACGTCACGAAGTCTTGAACAGTGTTGTACTATTGCACCTGCAAAAATAAATAAATACGTGACCTTCTTTTTCGCCTTTCAAGAGTCGAGATCTATTTCTTAATTTTTTTTTTAATTTTTTTATATTACACAGGAGGGACCGATGCCGCACAATGATCGTCTTAGATATCAGGCCCCCGATATCTATCCTGCACCACTACACAGATGTTGATCTCTCAGTGCACTGATCTTGTTTTTCAACCAGACTGAAGACAATCACAGCTGTTTTTGGATCAATAGCTAATATATATGCTTAGTGAGCACCAACATATTTTTTGCGCAGAGATTTAGGGTAGAAAGTTAAAAAGAAGAGTACTGACTGCCTCTGTAGAATATATAGCTGCAGTTTTCCGTCGAACGGAGGTGGTGGAAATTATTAATGTGAATGGTTGTGACTAGTCCAACTTCACTCAAAATTCCGAAAAGGGTACCAAATGGAGCTGTCAAATATACCAACATATACTCAAAACATTAAATTACTGATTAGTGAATCAATTCTGAGTTACATAAAGGACTTTATTTATAAAGATGATAAAAAAAGTGAGGGCTTATCAAAAGCTTAGGCTACAGTTTACTGGTCGGGATTCCAACGGGAGCAGCACGAGATCTTTTCTCTACAGCTCGAGAAACTTGTCTCACTGCATCTTTCGACAGATGACGTGGCTTGCTCAACCAAAGCCCTCCATCAATAGGCAATATACTTCCATTGATGTATTTACCTTCACATATATTGCCAACATTAAAATCGTCATATAAAACAGAACAAAGGTTACTTAATGTCGATTTGTATATATATAATTAAAAAAGAAATCGAAGATGACGAACCAGCATCCGAGGCCAAGTAAACAGCCGCCATAGCAATATCCCATTTCTCGCCAACTTTATAAAGAGGCGAATTTTCTCTCATTTTGTTATTAATTTCTTGAGGCAGAAGTTTACTCAATCCAGCAGTATCCCCTATGGGACCTGGTGCTATCCCATTTACTCGTATATCGTAATCTGTACCCCATTCCAGTGCTAAATTTCTCGTCAGAGCATCCACAGCCGCCTGAACAGAGATAAACCGTTGGATCGGTTTTTTTTTTTTTTTGTGTGGATAAAATCAAATTAAAATATTCATGGGAAGAATCAAAATCACAAACCTTGGCTGCAGAAACATGGATCTGATACCAAGATGCTGTATAATGCAATGTCGCGCTTATGTTCAGTATAAATCCTCCACTAGACGACGAGCTTCTCCCTTGTCCGCCTTTCTTGAGATACTTTAGTGCTTCGTGACACATTGTAAAAGTGCCAACAGAATCAATATCCATCACTGCAGAAGGTAAATCAATACCAAATAATCATAAATCAGCTCTCTCGAAATCGTATTACAATTTTTTTATTTTGCAGATTCCTAGTTTTTCTTATCGGTTGTTTTTAGATAACACTTTTCAGGTGAGAAAATGTACATGTACTGTTGTACACTATTTCATTGCTAACGTACCCTATCACAAACGAGGCGTATAAAAATCAAGAATTATAAGTGCGAAATTCAGTGATGCTCGGGCAGACCTGTTTTAAAACCGTTGGGAGAGAGATCCTCAGCCGATATGAGAAAATTGCCAGCAGCGGCATTCACAAGAATGTCGAGCTTTCCGAAATGCTTCACCGTGGCCTCCACGACTCTTTGTGCATCTTCCTGTTTGCGGACATCTCCTTCAAACCCAACAGCCTGTAATTTCGAAACATTCATAGAATGAACAAATTATACGAAGACGGAGATAATTTTGAATGGGTAGCACTAGCAACACTATCAAGATTTCTTTTTTGAAGTTGAAGAACTCAGATGCAATAGAAGCCATATCCAAGTAAATCTTTTTTAAGGGAAATTGCTGACAAGGAATACCGAAAAATCGGAATCAATAAACAATTCATAGCAACAAAGACCTTTTTCCCCAATTCAAAAAATGAACCCTAATCAATTAATTACTCAAGAGAGCTCAATTTAATAATTGGCATGTGATATTATAATAATCGGCGATGCTCAATTTCGTCAACCAACAGTATAAACAAACTTATTTTTTTGTGGAGAGAGAGAGAGAGAGAGAGAGAGAGAGAGAGAGAGAGAGAGAGAGAGAGAGAGAGAGAGAGAGAGAGAGAGAGAGAGAGGGTGTACGGGGATCCCGAGGGAATTGAGGGCGGAAACGGCGTCGTCTAAGACGTTCTTACGGCGGCCCATGACGGCGATGGAGGCTCCGTGCTTTCCAAATTGGGTGGAAATCTCGAATCCGATTCCCGATGCGCCACCGGTCAGTAGAGCTACTTTGCCTTTCAGTACATCGGCGTTGAATGGAGAATCCATTTCTTCGTCAAAAAAAAGGCCTGTTTTTGGAATTGGCTGATTATATAATTTGATGACGACGATATACGGTATGAAGAAGAAACCCAATTAATAAAACAGGTTTCTGTCAATATTTCGCAATTAATTTGTCGGCTTTTGCTTCCCATTATACAGTCTCTATGATTATCGAATCATCATCCTTTATTACCACAAATAGTCGTCACTCGGTCAGTGTAAATATATATTTTCTAAATAAAACTTAGCTCGAAGCTAATGTTAATAGTAGAAGAAGAAGTTACGGCGTAGCTGACATGCACCGAAAAAAATTTAGTTCGAAATTAATGTCATTAGAGAGGAAAAAAATTTAGCTCGAAACTAATATTGAGATGAAAAATGTTAAACTCCAAGGTAATGTTATTAGAAGATGAAAGAAAATTGGCTCAAAACTAATATCATTAAAAGAAGAAGAAAGTTTAGATCGAAACTAATGCCATTAGGACAATTTAAAAAAAAAACGAACATTTCAACTATTTTTAACCAAAACCTATGTGCTATAGTATATGATTTTTCGTGATTTTGCTTGAATGTTCGATAATTAGTGAAATAACTTTTAGATGAATGATTTATTGAGTACTTATGAATAAACATCTTTTAAGTTGTATATTTTATTTGAGTGTTAATTAATATATTTTTTTTAACATTTCAGCTATTTTTGACAAAAACGTGTACTATAGTAGTATATGAATTTTTATTTTTATTTTATTTTTGTTGACTGTTAAAAAATTGGGGAAAGAATCTTTTAATGAATTATTTATTGACTACTTGAACATATTTTGTACTATATATTTGAGTAATAAATATTTAAAAAAAAAAGATTTTAATAGTTGGGCTAATTTGAAAACACAGTTGATACAAAACAAATTAGTTCTAGGGCCGGTCGGTTTTCGCCCCCCTAAACGAGAACTCCCATCGGCAGCCATGGAGGAACAACCCCAGGTCGATGCAAATTTCCCATTGTTTTCCCGGAAAAAGAAGTTCGCCGTGAACAGTAAACCCCCGCCCTCAGAAACCGCCATTGTTGCGGCCTCCAAATCGTTCCAGAAAGAGCTAAACACCAACCCAACCCCGGACAACATCACTTTCTCCGACCTAGGCCTCTCCGAATGGGCCGTCAACACCTGCAGAGAGCTCGGCATGAAGCGGCCGACTCCCGTCCAGCACCACTGCATTCCCAAAATCCTGTCGGGCCAGGACGTGATGGGCCTCGCTCAGACCGGAAGCGGCAAAACGGCGGCGTTTGCGCTCCCCATCCTGAACCGGCTCGCCGGAAACCCGTTCGGTGTGTTCGCCCTCGTCGTAACCCCCACGCGCGAGCTGGCGTACCAGCTGGCGGAGCAATTTCGTGCCCTAGGGTCGGGTTTGGGGCTGCGGGTTGCGGTGATTGTTGGCGGTATGGATATAATTAACCAATCCCAGGGTTTGATGCAGAGGCCTCATATAGTAATAGCCACTCCCGGCAGAATTAAGGTTCTTATTGAGCAGAATCCTGATATTCCTTCTGTTTTCTCCAATACAAAGGTGGATTCAATTTTTTTTTTTTTTTAATTTGTTGGTAAATAAATTATAGCTTAATGGCATATGAAGTAGAATTTATGTTGCATGAACCTGGAAAATATCTTGTTGCAGTTTCTAGTCTTGGATGAAGCAGACAGAGTGTTGGGTGTTAACTTTGAAGCAGAACTGAGAGTTATTTTCCAGTGTTTACCGAAGGATCGGCAAACTTTACTGTTTTCTGCCACCATGACTCCGAATTTACAAACGTTGCTTGAACTTTCGGTAAATAAGGCATATTTCTACGCGGCGTATGAGGGTTTTCAAACGGTGGAGTCTCTGAGACAGCAGTATGTTTTTATCCCCAAGCATGTGAAGGATGTGTATCTACTGCACATATTAAACAAAATGGAAGAAATGCGCGTTCGATCTGCTATTATTTTTGTTTCCACCTGCAGGTATGGTTTTCTTGTATAATCTCGGAGTTTCTTAATGTCGGCTGTGAAAATATTCTGTTGATTTGCATTGTTTAACATTGTCTTAATGTGAGCTGTTATTATGCGTTTTTTGACATGGGATTTGATGGAAATTATTTTCTATCCGCAATAGTGTCAACTGAAAATCACTGAATCGGTATAGTATATTCCATTGAGCATCAAATTGAAATGCTTATATAAGTGATTTTGAAGCATTGTAAGAATGTCGACAGAACTTCATTATGTCTTTTCTAATCATGTGCAAGATTTGTCTAAATCTTAGCTGCGTATAGAGGACACCATAATAATCTTTCGGTTAGTATTATTGGTTTCTCTGCCCAAGCAATCGGGTTAATAAAACAAGTAAGAACAGAAATTAAGTTTGGCAACTTCGCCATCATTCATCTTGCTGTAAGTTAGCGGTCAACAAAATCAATTATTTAGTTGTTAAAATAAGATGAGATCAATTTTTATTGCATGTTGGAAACTAACCGGCTTCTTCAAAACCTCTTTATTTTCAAGTACCAAACGGCCTCTCGATCTTGACTCCATCTGTTCTTTGAGTGAGCAGGAGTTGTGAGCTTCTGAGTTTGTTGCTGGAGCAGCTTGAACTGGAAGTTGCAGCATTGCACTCTTTCAAATCCCAGTCCTTGAGGCTTTCGGCATTACACAAGTTCAAATCTGGACAGGTTCCTGTATTGTTAGCAACTGACGTCGCTAATCGTGGTTTAGATATTCCAACCGTAGATTTGGTTATAAACTACGACATTCCTAGGTAAAACGACACTGTTTGAGACTGTCAACGAAATTGATAATTGTAGCAGACACTAACAAAAACTGGAACTTCCTATTATTATTTTTTAGGTATCCAGAGGATTATGTTCATCGTGTTGGGCGTACTGCAAGAGCTGGAAGAGAAGGCCTTGCTCTTAGCTTTGTCACCCAGGTATTATATGAACTGTGTTGTAGTTCTTTCTCAATATTTTTATGGCATTGTACTAATTGATTATTTTGAGATATATATTTATATGTTTTTATCTGTATATTCTTATGTTCTAACTGAAAGAAAAAGCTGATTAGCGAGGATTTTGTTAATTAGAAACTTGTTTCGAAAACCTTCGCCAATCTACTTGAGTACACATTGGATATTTTTTTTTCTTTTTTTTTCTTTCTTTCCGTTCTTTCTTGTTCTGCTATTAAGGTTATCTTTTGTGGTGCATTGCGTAAAGGTATTTTCCTGTTTGCTTTGACGTGTATGGAATATATTGTGCAGAATGACGTGGACCTTGTACATGAAATAGAAGCTGTTATCAAGAAAAAATTGGACAAGTTTGAGTGTAACGAAAAGGATGTGATCGAGGATAATATCACAAAGGTAAGAGCTTCAGTCTTTCAGACCATCGCATCTGCTGCTTTTTATGGCGTATCAACATTGCAAAATTTTCAATTTAATCATTGGAACTATAGTAAAGCTTGATCATATAACACGGGATCAAATTTCTCATATTAACAAGCTCTGTTTAGTGTTCGGTGTGGTTATACCTATTTGCTTACGAGTTTATGTATATATGCTTGCAATTTAATATTCAGGTGTACAAGGCTAGGCGTGTGGCAACGATGAAGATGACGGAGAATGGATTTGAGGACCAAGCCAAGGCACGAAGAGATCAGAAATCAAAGGATAATGCAGAAAAAGGCCTAGTTACGGACAATAAACGAAAGAGATATAAAAATAAAGCTGCTAAAAAGATTAAAGAATCTCAAGACTGAAGTTTGCTCCCTGTTTCTCTGTCTGAAAACTGAAAAGAAGAAACTAATGTACCCTTGCAATCCTGGGATTGTTTCTGGGATAATTTATAATTCATATTTATTATTATAGGATACAAATAGGAAAATTTTGGGCAAAGATTTTACTACGGTAGATTGTTGACAGCAGTTATTCTCGAATCACAATTCGACAAATAGACGACTGCCATTTCGATTTCGAGAGTCGGGCAATTCTTTAAAAATTAGAATTCAGAAGGCTATATAACTTATATATTATACACTACCTTAAAATCTATCTATACTACAGAGACTATATAAATACTACTGACGAACAACACAAAACCATCCAATTCCATCACGAGTCGCTCGGTTGCTGCTGAGGTGGCTCCTCCTGTGGCTGCCACGTCACAAAAGGAAGAGCCTGCCGATGCTGTTCATCGATAGGATGATTTTGTGAGGATACATAGTACTATGGTGGAGCCTCAGCGGCACCAAATCCAACAAACGGAACAGCAGCGGACTCAGTTACACCGAGTCCCTCCTCCTTCAACTCATCTCGCGGAATAATATCGACCAAAAAGTCGAAAACATCGGTCCTCGAAATAGCAGCTGCGATATCGTTCTTCTGAAGAGTCCTCCTCTTGTTCTCGTCTGTATTGATCCAAGATCGAAGAGTCAGTTCCAATATGAACATCTCGCACGCCTTTGCGAATATAACCGGAGCTTCTGCGGAAATCATTCTCACATCCTCGTCGGCTTTCATTATCTTCTTTATTCGAGCGAGCGGGAGGCTGTGGTTCTTGAAATCGGTGGTTTGGTTGATTTCTCGAAGCTGGTTGGCCCAGAATGCATGGAGTTGCTTCCGCTGTTGACTGCGAACGAGGTGGCGGTGGTGGTCGTGGGCTAAACTCGCCGGAGAAGAAATGGTGCCAGCTGGCATTGTAGGTAGCTTGTGGTGGTGGTTTGAATGATCCATTGTGGTGGTTTGATTATCAGATGTTCTATCTTCTACTTTCTATGTTACTTACAACTGTATCTATAGTTTCAATCCAACAAACACTGCAATCCAAAAATGAAATCTTAACTTCATTCACAAATTACAGAGTCTACTGGAACATGATTTTTTGAAAACAAAAAACAAAAAAAAAAATTAAATCACCCCAAATAAAAAATGAAGAACAGGGGATGCCGAGAATAAATAGAAAGGTGAAGAAAGATGATTGTGCCTGGAAATTACAGATATACCCCTCATATTCAAACAATTTCTTACTGGTGATCATGAAGTTCTTAAGTAGCAAATAAACATTAATTATAATATTGTTGGAAGATTCAGATAAAGAAACATAGATGAAGAAAAACACAGACACCTACTTGTATATCTTGAAAAATCGGACCGGCCGCAGAAGAATTCGCTTGGACAAGCAAACCCTAGAGAGAGAAAAAACGACGGGGACGACAGACAGAATATGGACGCAAACCCTAGAGAGAGAAAAAGCGACGGGGACGACAGAATAAGGTCCGATGAGAGAGAGAGAGAATCTTCTGGGGACGTGACACGTGTCGTTAAAGTGATGTTAAAGCGCCTGTCTGCACTTCGAGTAGCGCTTTACTGGGTGACTGTGACATAGTTAAGGTCGCTAATTGGAAAACACGCGATTTAAGATTTTCAAACTGAAGAATCGTATATTACTAATTATATATTTAATTTCTTATATAGAATTATAGATCAATTTTATTCTGATTTACTCAATGAATAATTTTTAGGCGGCGGCTATATACAAGTCTATTTTTTTATTAGTTCAAAACCACATAAAGGAGTTTATTAGTTCAAGCCCGTAAATTAATCTAATTTTATTACATCAAGACCAAAGATGACAAATATACTCTTATCCACAAATAATACTCAAATACAAATAAATCTTATTTTTAATTTGTTCAAGACCAAAAATCAAAAAAAAAACAAAAAACAAAAACAACAAAAAAAAATATCACGTCTGCCAACCAGCGAGACTTTCACGGCACCGGCGATGACCAGCGACCCACTCACCGCACAATTACCACCACCGCACCACCACCAACAAGTAAGTCCATTTTACTAAACTTTTGTTTGTAAATTCAAAAACATTAATCGAGCATCAATGTCCTTTTTACTAAATTTTTATTTGTAAATTCGAAAACATTAATCGAACATCGATTCTTGATAAATATGTATGAATGAACATTAATCTATGCTTATTTCTTGTTGGATTGCAATGATTTGGCCGATTTTGGAAAAAAAAAAATGAGATTGAAATTAGTTTTTTTATTTTTTTTCGTTAGTTTCCGAAATCGGTTTATCCAGACCGATTTTGTACACGAAAATCGGCGTCATAATACCGATTTTTGTTAACCAAATCGGCGACACAACGTCGACTTTACAAGTCAAAATCGGCGTTCTAATGTCGATTATTGAGTACAAAATCGGTTTTCGAATACCGATATTTTTTGAATTTTTTTTTAAATAATACATTATCTATTTGGTTAATTGATATTTTTTAAATATTTGAAACGAAAATGTTTATCACCATTCGGTGGCGTCTACCACTCCTTTAACCCAATCGAGTAGAGATTTTCGTATCTCAAATATTTATTCGTTAAATAATTCATTTGAATAATCCTCCATCAATCCCCTAGGTTGATGCACGAAAGTATGAGAAAACGGTTTTAAAAAACACAGATAATAAAATCGGTATTTAAAAACCGATTTTTGTAGTATAAGTCGGCATGACAATACCGATAATACAAAAATAAATCGGTGTTGTCATGCCGATTTTTACTACAAAAATTGGTTTTTAAGTACCGATTTTTATTAAAATAATCGGAATGTGGTTACCGACTTTAGTAACAAAAATCGGTATTTGCAGACCGATTTTTGGTATCGTCGAATTTTTTTTCCTAAAAAAAAGAAACGTCCCAAAAGCAAAAATAAACGGTTAAAACATATTTCATTGTGTTCTCCACCCTCGTAAACCACCATATTATTGTTTTCTGGTTCAATCGTCAATATTTGGTATGTATTTGATAATTTTGGTGTGTAGGATTTCTTTGTGGGTTTGTGAAGAAGAAGGAGAAGAAGGAGAGTTTTAAGTCGTGAAATAAGGAAGAGGGGTTTCTGGATTTATGTATTTTATTTGGTCTTGCACAAAGGAATTTTTTTTTTTTTTAATATTTTGTGTTTTTTATTTGATTTTAAATTTCATTAAGGGTAAATTAGTATTTTTATGTTGGAGGTCTTGAACTAATAAAAAAATGGACTTGCATATAACCACCGCCTAATTTTTATTATCAAGTTTTACCTAAATTAGCAGAAAAATCTGATGATCCGCCAGGTGTATGAACGTTTAAACATCTATTAGAATTTGGTGACAATTTTTATTAAAAAAAAAAAAAAATCATATACGTCGAGGTTTTGGTATGATTTTCGGCCCAAACCGGCACGTGTTCACCCCTACTAGAGCACGGTGTCACGTGACACACAGCCAACCTCACGTGATCACACATTATTTCATGACAAATTTTGAAAAAGAATTTCAAATAACGTAATATAATAATACAAATCGAAAGTTAAAAGATTTGAAATACATTCTCAAATAAATTTATTCAAACAAAGTTCAATAAATGTACCCTATAATTGTAATGAATATAAAATCTTGAGCTGAATTATTATTCCATAAAAAAAAAAGACAGCTGGATGTAAGATATATAACATTGTCCCAAAGACTTTAAGAGCTGTATATGATGATGATAGTGTGTGCAAGCCATTTAGTTCTCCCTATTGGTGTGTACAATTTAACGAAACTAATTTCTTTCGTAAGTAAAGAAAAATACGAAACCTGACGGTTTTTTTTTATTGACGATCAACTTGCCTTTCGTGCAGCAGAAGACATTACACGCAAACGGCTAGCAATTTCGGTAAAAGACGGCCTCACGGCAGGATTTGGAGCCCAACACTGCTCCATTAATCTTCTCCATTCCGAGTCGCAGTAGCTTGGAATCGTTGGCCTCAATGTATTGTTCACAATTCCACCTGCGTGCACAAAAAATAAATTCAAATTAAAACGAGATATTTAGACGATAAATCAAATATTTTTTAGTAGCGTACTAATTTTTTTTTTACCTATGATTGCACCGTAATGCATGTTGGCGTAAGGCTCCTCTCCGGTGAGTATCTCCCATAAGACGATACCAAATGAAAATACATCAACCTGCAGGATGAACCACATCGTAATTACTATATTGAAACAATTTGCATCGTTGTTATCTTCCCATTTGCAGGATGATGCACCGAAGAACTCTAGTTTATATTACTCCAGTTCATTTTCCATAAAGAATAAATTTCCACAAATAAATAGATTTGAATCCACAGATATGTGTGAGTGTGTGTGTGTGTGTGTGTGTGTGTGTGTGTGTGTGTGTGTGTGTAATATGACTAAAGTACCCATCGACTAATTCTCTTTCCTGGGGAGAATTTATGTTCGAGACATTTTAGGAAATAATAAGGGCAAATTTGGTACAAAGTAATCAATGTAGCTTCGAAATTCTAAATTGGCAGATAATTTCGAAAAGAAAAAAAAATCTCCAAAACGACAGTTGATTTGAAACGGAGGGGGCAATACCAATTTTCAAATTCTATATCAATTCAATATTATGGAGACAGAATTGCAGATTGTGGGCTTTACCTTCTCAGAAACTCTGTTGCTACTACCATTGAGCAGCTCCGGAGCCATCCATGGCAGAGTTCCTCTAACTCCACCAGAAACCAACGTGTTTCGTTTTATTTTTGATAGACCAAAATCACCTACCTGATAATCGCATGCCAACATCCGAACTCAAATCAGTTTTATAATAAGAAATCATATAACAACTAGAGCATATTAAGTGATGTAGTTGGGGTAGAAAATTAGATGACCTTGCATATAGGTCTTGAAGGATCTTTCAAGTTAACGAGCAAATTGTCACATTTCAGATCAAAGTGCACTATATTCTTTGAATGCAAATACTCCATCCCAAAAGCTGCATCCATTGCTATTATAAGCCGCTTTCGTCGATCAAGGAGTCTGCAAAGTTAAAAAGACGCATGGATATATCATGAACAAGTAATAGTCACAAAAGTGAAAGGAGACAATAATACAAGGTTAATATCTCGATGCATATTTTCTCAGTTATTGTCAAATATACTAATCAAACACACGCTTGAGGTATTTTTATAGTTGCAAAGCATTAAATTAAAAGGAAAAAATAATAATAATACCTATCTTTACGAAGTAAAACATGTCTCAAAGATCCATTCACCATGTACTCTGTGACCGTAGCCAATGTCCCGCCTGGTCCATCTTGTACAACACCATAAAACGCAACCACATTTGGGTGGTGAAGCTTTGATAGAATTTCAGCTTCCTTCCAAAACTCGTTGGTCTGAAAGTGAGTGTCATAACCATTTTAGTAAGATCCAAGTACATGCATGGTAATAACTAATTTGTTTTGCAACAATAATTGAGAAGAACAATTGCTATCAGTTCCCACCAATTTGCTTGTAATCAACTTCCAGCAATTAGTTAAATTTTAACTCATAAACAAGCAAATGTCCAACAACAATATGTAGCATTATAAAGTCTATACTATGGAAGAATAAAAAAAAAGTACTGTTTATCCGATAATTTTTTTTTACCAGTCTATCTTGCTCTGATTGTCGACCAGTAAAACAACTCTTTTTTATGCGCTTGATAGCTACATCTGAGCCTCTCCATTTTCCGTGATATACAGTCCCAAATGTCCCAGCACCAAGTTCCTTCAGTTCTTCAAGGTCTGCATTTTGTATAATCTGCATTTTCAGAAGAAAGCCGAAATTATGATGATTCCAGATAAATTTAGTAAGTAAATTAAAATTTTCATGGTTCCACCTTTCAACAGTTTAAGAAACAAATAACAAACGGTTGATCGAATGAAAGATTGGATTTCAATACTGAAAGAGATGCCAGCTATTCATCTGACGAGTTTCGAAGAAAATCAGAATAAGTTGTGTTAAATTGTTTTGAAATGTTGATATTAAGTTGTTATATTTACATGTAAATATTTGAAGAATGGAAGGTGTAAAATTGGGCCTAACCTGCAATGAGTTGATATCAAAATCCACCAACGATGGATCTAGAGGAGGTAAGCCAATTTGTCCAATGCCAATATCATCCTATAGGATTTATAGTATCAACAGACATTCTGCTGAAAAGATACAAAAATAACATTTAATTATTTTTTTTAATAAAAGAAAAAGTACCTCATAATCCAGATCTTGATTTCTCCTATTATCCATCGAATCTTCATACTGATTGCCTTCACCGACTTTCAATTGCGATGCATTATAATTGGAAGGAACAGCAACAGATTCAGCCCCATCTCCACCATGTAAGTCTTTGTGATCCTCTTCTCTCATGAGTGGCCCAAAGTCATATGCTAAAGGCGTATCCTCTTCGACTTTCGTAAGTCCTGAGGAAAATACATGGTCTTGATCAATGAGAGAAATACCCTTTCTCGTAAACTCATCCCCTGCCAGCCTCTGGAAAAACGACCAGTGTTTAGGTTCCGGGTTTTCGATGTTCACACTCAAACCACCTCCCTCATTCTGTAGGGGATCCGTATTAGACGAGCTATCTGAAAGAATAGCTTTCGAAAATATATCAGAAAGAAGATTACGTGGGAACCGGTCATTGATATCAATAAGTATATCTCCCTGCTCGGTTTTGGGAACAGCTGCCTTAGCTTCTTCCTGATTTCCCGTCGTTGAAATTGACTGCCCAGTAGGTATATCTACATTCCTAATTGGGAAACTTTCACCCGATTCCGAAACGAAATCTTGCTGGATATTATTATCATTACGTGACTGATTAACAAGAAACTGAGAACTGTGAGCATCATCCGATTTTGATGTTCGTTGAAGAAACCCTGCCTGCTCTCGAGGAATACGCTCCGAGTAATAGACCCTCCGAGGAGGAACAGAAGACTCAGAATAGGTCAACTCGGTAGGATCAAATTCCGAGTTGGTGGATTCGGGATCAGGAGCATTACCAGATGTACAATACTCATTGCCATTGGATTGAGATGGATTAAAAGCATCAACAGGTTTTGCTTCACTCTTTGAAGATTCTTCAACAGGAAAATTAACTTTTGTGTTACCCCTGCCTCCATTTTTCGGACCATCAAATTTCGGTTTTGCCTCCTTCTCTTGCCCTTGATTGCCATGTGCGCCTGAGCTATTTAAGGAATTCGCTTCGAGACCTTTTTGTTGAGAAAAAGCCCCAGAAGAGGACTGTGGTACGTCACTCTCTGAAGGCGAATGATAAGGAGGACGGAAATTGTAGCCAAATTGTGGAGGATGTTGCTTTTGCTGACCATGATAAAAGTGCGATTCAGTTTGATAAATATCGGCGGAAGTTGGTAAAATAGATTTAGAAGATTCATTAGCCGTTGACGGCGCAACAAAGCCGGCCGTGGAGGTAGTAGTAATCCCAACAAATTCAGCTGAGCTCGTACGTGTGTCCCTTTCGACATTGGATGCAGCCAACTTATTCAAATTGTCTTTGGACGAACTTGCTAAACCACGACGGGTAGAGCCTTTTTGCAATCCAATTTCCATGCCATTGACGGCAACTACATATCTCATCTCCGAATCGACATCACTGTTGGCTAGACTGAAATGAGCCTCCTCCAAATCTCCATGAGAAAACAGAAATATACGAAGCTTTTGGGATCCTTCTCCATCTTTGAGCACATTCCACTCCTCCATCATGTTTAATAAATCCTCATCGCTCGAGACAGAAACCAAAGCATCGAGCCCTTCCCCAGGAAGTTGATATTTTATGGTATGAGTTTCATCGTAAATTGCAGATGTTTTATCCCATAGTTCTTGCCATACGATGTCCTTCCTTATCCGGACGATGCGTGTTTCACCGCCAACATACCTGAGCTCTCCATCACTTGGCCGGGGTAGAATTCTACCACCAAAGCTGCAGAGAATCTTAAGCTTCTGTGACAAATGGTGGTTGTGGTAATCCGATGAGGCGTATGCCATAGATTGCATAGACTCACGGTTAACCCCGTTTCCATGTAACGGCAAATTCCTGTGGTCAGATTCTCTTGAACTTTTTTCGGTTGTGACAGTCAATGAAGGATCCGAAGCACTTAACATGGCTTTTGGCTCCATGTACCCAGGTACATTATTGGGATCACCGGAGATATTTGGAACAAATAGATTCTTAAAATTGGTCCTGTCGCGCATAAATTCAAGAGAAAACTCCTCACCAGTCTGCATGGAGTAATTATGCACAGGTTTAGGATCTGAATAAATGATTTCCGAGTCCGAGGACATCAGATTGGCATTTTCATGACCTAAAGTATCTGCACTATGAACTACCGATCCAAGACGAAGATCTTCATTTCCGTGTTCTGAGTAGTACTGCATAAGATTCTGATTCTTTGACTGTTCCATATTGAAAGTCCTAACTTTTCCCTCTTTCAAGTACTACGTCAATCGGAATATCTGCTTACACCACAATACTGTGCACAATTTGCAAATCGACAGAGAAGCACCAAAATACTAACAGCAACTGGAAGACTTTGACTGAAAACAAGTTCATCGATATTCATGCAATACATAAACGTAATAAGTTAGCGACATTTCTGAACGAAACTGGGATGCAGGAACACAATTTGCTACGACGAGAATCCTGAACCTGACAAACTGCCATAAAAGGGAATAATCCATGTTAAAATTGGAATCACACACAATATTTTATTGAGTCAAAAAGGATCGAGTTTGTGGAGGTTGGAGGGGGCACCATAGTAGAGGGATCTCTACGTTACGTAACGAAATGATTTAAAGAAAAGAGTGCTCATTCCAAAATTATACAAAGAAACTTTTGGGCAATTTATTGAGACACAACACTGAGATTTGCCCGTTTAAAATTACATGTTCGTAATGAACCGGATTCGCAAAGCGTGAGGTGATTGCTAATTACTAATCCTTTTAAAGAAATTATCGATTGAAAGAATAAAGATTGGTAAAGCCTTCACCATTTATAGTAAATATAATAAATATCTCAAAATGGGGGAGAAGGTTGGAGAGCTTTGATCGATTAGAAACACTCAAAAGTAAGCAGAAATAATTTCATATAACTAATATTACTAAAATCTCCAAAAATCCAATTTTTTGTGTTAAAAAATAGATAACACAGTTCGATTCGATTCCAGAGCATACTGAAAAATATTTGCAAATTAGCAACCTCACACCAAGAAGGCAAGAACCCTAATTTTGAAATAAAAGGGGAAAATTCCAGAATGGAAAATTCCAGGTATATTCAAGGAAATTGTAACAGAAAATATAAATCAGAATCAATTGAATCCCAAAATTTATAAACTAAAAAACAAAAAAAAAAAAATTACCTCAAGAAGGCAGTGCAGTGTGAGAGCTCAGCCTGTTGACTAAATCCGCCATTACCGCAACTCCATTTGCAGCGTGAAAAAGGAAATACTGAAGTACTAAATAAGATAGTGAAATCTAAAGGTTAAGTCAAGTCGACAATTTGATAAAATAGTGTACTAGTATATTATGTCATTTAAATTGTCGCTATTTTTGGTTAATTACGTTTTTACCCCTGGTCTCAGATGGGTAGCAACTAGTGACGGAAACTGAAACTGATTTACATCCGACATTTTTCGATTCTCGGACGATTTCTATCCGAAAATTCTCGATTTTGGAATTAGACTATCAGTTTCAATTTTTGAAATTCTATTGTCCGATTTCTTTTAATAGAATCGAAATTAAAATGTTCACTTCCGAATATAATTGGATTTTTACTCCAAAAATTCTAATTCTTATCCGATTTGTTCGATTTTTACCCATGTAGCAATAAGGTGACTGTGGCTACATTGATAAAATAGTTTTCATAAATTGATTTTTTTTTAATTCAAAATAAATGCATTTTCTTGTTTAAATACTAAAAATAGAAAATAAGACTTTTTTATGGACGGTGGAATTAAATTATTTTTATTTATTGTTGGGCGGTGCAAGATGCTTGCACTTTTCCAATTTGCACACTTGTTTATTTGCAAGCAAGAATAAGACATTTGTGGAGAAACTAGTTTGTATCCTTTTTTATTCATTCGTTATAGTTCCCTTATTGCTACTAAGATAATAAATATTAGGACACATGTTTATAAGTTATTATAGAAATTAGTATTTTGTTATGAAAAACTTCTTTTTCGTTTATTGGTAAGGTAAGTCGTTATTACAAAGGGGAAGCCTCTTGAAGAATTCCTCGTAAGATATAATGAATAATTAACTGCTGAAGTTGGTTAAGAAACACGCACACTTGTACCATAAACACGCACTAGATCAGAAGAGAGAAAAGATAGAAAAGAAGACGATTGAATATGTTGAAAGAAGATTCGGTGCATGGTTAGTGTTTGTTCTATTGCTCGTTGTTCGATCTTGAATTGTTTGATCAGATCTTTGATTGAATTCGGTGAATCGTACAACATGACCCATATTGAAGAGATTTCAAATCCCACAGACGATTTATAAAAAAAAAAAAAAAAAAAAAAAAACTGGTTCAATTAAGAGCTAAACATTTAAAATAATATTGTAGGGAAAGAAAAAAAAATCCCAATCATTTAGAGATGTGAAATCCTATGCAATATGAGAGAACTTAGAAATGACTTTGTACATGTCACAGCTTGACAAACGAGACTCAAAAAGCTCACATAATAACGCAGCTGCCATTTTCCCTGTAACCATATATACTTCAGTCATTCAAACAGTTTCCCAATAAACGCGCGCACACACACACACACGCGCGGAGTAAAGAAAGAAAAGAAAACTACCTTCTAGTTTCTTCGTAGCGGCTTAAAGCTTCCTCAAACTTCATCCAGAGAGGGCCCGTTTCTTGAAGGTTCACATTTTGTGGGCCAGAGAGATAGGCCTGAACAACAAACTGGAGACTTCTCTCCCTGTAAAACGATTCAAGTTCTTAATGATTTGGTGGTGCTGCATTAAAAGTAGATTAAAACAGAAATCCCGGATATTATGAGATGATCGTACCTTCCTTCATATTGTGATAGCCAAGCCATGTAGGCTGCACCAAAGTACATGGAAACAAAAGGCTTGGTAAGATCTTCAGTAGACTGCACCATGTAACCTTTGTATCCACCATCCCTATATATATATATATATATATATATATATATATATATATATATATATATGTATGTATATATCAAAACATTTTACATAATAAATAAAAGGAATTTAAAGACAAAAAAAGGAGTTTCTTGAATTTCAGTTTAGACATACTTGTACAGCCAGCGAGCTGTTGGATAGTCGATTCCCATTAGTCCTGTGCGCTGCCCAACCCCATTCACAAATCGCATGCTAACCATTTCAGAGACAGCACATAAAACAGTCTGCCCAAAAAACAATCCGTATTAGCCCGGTTGTGTACTTCTTCTGGCTCCTATTCTATTCTTCATGATAAACAATGTCGTTATTACTTCAATGTGTTATTCAAACTACAGAATAGTTCAAGAGAGATGCAGTCTTGTGAATGTTTACATGCATACAGTAGACAATATCATTGTCAGCCAGGTTGAGTGTTGAACATATTAAGTCACAGTCATTCTTTCGCTTTTTATATGATTATATCATGTTATTGGAATGTTTATCTGACTTTATTCCAAGTAAATTTATCATGAGGAAACACGGTTTCCATATACATAATTTCACTATAACTACGGCGAAACTTCATGGAAAATATGCGTCATGAATAAACATTAAAATAAAATTTGAACTACTGACAGGTTTGACTCCTTTTATGTTTGAGTGCTTAGCCAAAATGATTTCTGCCACGGCCTGCAAAAAAAAAAAAAAAAAAAAGAAAAATGCAAAAGAAAAATGTGAACAATATGCTAATAAACCCTAAAAACCAAAACTGAAAGAAACACGTGTGGTTTCTCACCCTTAGTTCTACCCGTGAAAGATAAGGATGCTTTTCTGCATCATGAGATAATCGCACATTCCCCCTTCTCTCACCAGATTTTGTCCATTCCTTGTTTACATCAGGATGATTCCACATATCTTCCATGTCTTCACCAGAAGTTCTTGAGTCCCAAGTTGCATTGACAGGACTTGCTTCTGTACAGACAACAAAATTAAGTGGTTCAGCAACATATGTAGAGATATATAATCGACCGTTCAAATTTTAATCTAGCCTTATTATAAGGTGCCAAGAATCGGATGAGCAATACTGTTTTCCATTCACAAACACATGGGCCAGGCCTAAATAGCGGCCCAGACATTGTTTTTTATTGTTGTGTCAAGCATTCTTCGACGTAAAATGTAGTATTTCTAAGTTGTATCTCCAAAATCCCCAAGTAATAAGCAGCAACCTATTTTTTTACTAACTTCAAGGGAATTTGACTATATTCAGTGAACTGCTCAAAATCAAATGTTTCATCGCTGCTCCGACTTCAAACACATATAGATTATATACAACTGAATCGCTGGAATGGTAAACAAAAGCACCATACCTTTGCTTTGTGAAACTGCAGTAGCAGATGATGAAGGAACATTAGGTGCAGATCCGACTCCAAAGGCTTTTCTGCATTTGTTATAGATCTGTTTATTAAACCATGAAATAATAGTACTCGATATAAGATGGGCTAAATTCATCAAACTTCAAACTCTATCATAACACGAGCAAATTCCCACTAGAACTGGCTGTAAGCGAATGTACAAGTGTTGCTTAACATTTTAATGACACAATGAATGTTCTCAAGCTCCTAATGCCAGTACGCATGTAAAACATCTGGCAACAAACATTAACCTAGGCCTATGACAACTTACCACATCCTAATATAGTGATCACCAGGAAATGTTTACTCCAGAGAGTAATGAACCTATGAAGTTTGGGATACAGCTAAATACTATATTTGATATTTATTCCTTTTCCAACATACCAAGCATGCATTATTTGATTTATTTCTATCTGCAAATAGAAGTGAAGCATTTACCTGGATGGAAGACTTTCCTTGACAGAAAGATATTTTCTCCAGTATGGCAACGTTGACTTGTGAGTAGCCTTTTTTATACTACCTTTATAAGCCCTAACCATGAACTCTTCACTCCTTTCTCTGCAAATACAATTTAACGCAGATAATTATTTTCAAGATTTCATGTACGCTTAGAAGTCAGCAGAATATCCATGCTGTATGATGACACATAAAAACGAACAAGAAATTACTAAAAAAATAAGTTGGGATGAGGGAGTTCCATATTATATCCACTTACTTTTGGTCATAGTTTGATATCCACTTAAGATAGGCTGCTGCTAGATAAACATTAAGAAAAGGCTTATACAGAAATTTTGGATCCTCAGCGACTTGATAAGCACTGTAACCCAACTCTCTGCAGAAAAGTTCAACTTTAATTCGGAGAGAAAGAGGCGTGTAAGATTTATTCCAAAAACGAGAACGAAAGTAATATTCACCTGGTCAGCCACTCTGAAGTTCTTGGTGAGATTTGCATTATTCCCATCTTTACATCTTCCGATTTCTTGTTATAGCTTGTAGCAAGTGGTTGTCTATCACTTTCAAGCTCAGCAATGGCACAAAGCATGTCCTGAAAATGATAAATTATAATTAGAAACTGCAGTAGTTGACCTAAAACTTTACATGTCTTTCTTATTGTGACTGAACGCATGCCACATGCTCTATATAATTCATGACATTAAGAATTTGCTAATTGAGAAGCATATTATCATACCGAATCTATCTGTGAGACAAAATGCCTTCGAACAATAATTCCTGCCACAGCCTGTTTAAAAAAGAAACTCATCACAAGTTATATCTTGACTATCTGTGAGAAATATACCGGTACGGTACTATACATTATCAGGTCCAACAATACATAGAACTCGCATTAGGAACTAGTAAAGAAATCCGGTTCCACATTTACCCTCATCTCAGTCTGTGTTAAATAAGGCTGACCATCAGGATCACGTGACAGGTGGACCTTCGATCCCATGGTCTCTCCAACATCAATCCACTCTGCTCTGACATCAGGCTCCATCCACATAGCATCCAAGTCCTCAGGATCCACGCAGTCATTCCAGTACTTGAAGCTGACAGATGCCATCCTGGAAAACAAGCCAAATCATATTTCATTTTAAAAACACGATACCTAACAGCAGAGGAAGCTCAATTTAACTATTAAGACAAAGTAAATATATAACAACACAAATCATCATAGTAAACAAGAATGTGTCCCATATAATAAGACAAAGAATATTCGTACGGATTAATGTTTGCTTATAACATTTTGTTTGCACGGTCAGTCGCAGATGGTGGTAGTAAACTCTAAGTATTCAATATCTCGTTTCGATATAATTAGGTATTCATGAGAATATATCCACATATTTCAAGCATCGCTCGTGAATAAACAGAGATGTTATCTCTTCCAGCTTCGTCTCTACATTCCCTAAGAATCGAGCACCAGAAAATAACATTCACCAATTTCTTTTGCATATTATCAACCCAAAGCAGCAATTAGAAATTAATGAAGAAGGAAAACAATTTAACTACAAAAGGCCCGTGAACAATAATAGTTGTCTTCCAATTGCCAAAAAACAACCCAAATAAACACATAGCAAAACCTAATTACACAATGTCAGTGAAATGAATCTGAAAAATTAAAATTCTTCTACATTCCTCGCCATAGTTCGTCCATACGATTAAAAGCAAAAATAAAATAAAAATTGTCAGATCAAAATTCAATAAATCATTACAACGTACGAAATACAAAATTTGCAAACAGGAAATCACCATTCAACAATAAACAACCGAATAAATGAACAAGGAGGATTAAATCGATCGGGAAAACAAACCTGGATTGGGAAGGCGGGAGAACAAAAGGATTGAAAAGGGAACCTTAATTTGAACTCCAGCAAGAAAGAATCCCTGGGCAAATGAAATCGAGACATTCAAGGAAAATGTATAGTATCAGAATGTTCAATTTTTTTTTTTTTTTTTTTTTTTTTTTTTTTGGCGGAGAAAGTTTGTTGGCTGTGATTTGACGACTGTTGAGCTTTCCTTTTTACGCATTGTAGGGAGGTTATTGTTTGAGGTGACACGTGGCCTCTCCCGCCTCAAACCCCTCTCCTCCTGAATAATAAAGATTTCACACCTAATTAACTTTAATTACCACAAATAATAATTAAGAAAAAAAAAGTGTTTTTTTTATTGAAATAATATATATATAAATGCATAGCATAAGAATCTAATCGGGCATTTCCAAATTCAATTCCTTCATTCGTCGACGGACTAATCGATCGGTAAAAAGATAAAAAAAGAGATAATTTGGAAAATGAATGTATTACTGATAGTTGAAATCGTTGAAATCGTACTTTAATAGGGTTCAGTACATTTGTTTATAATAGAAAATTTCTAATTAGACATTTTCTAAGTTAGAAACAATATCGTCGAACCTTCTTCTTCTTCCAATTACTCTCATTTAGCTCACTACCTACCTCTTATATCGTCTCTTGTATATTCGGATGAGTTGGCGAACACGCTACCCTCATATTCTAGAAGCATCGTTTTAGCGAGTTTGGTACTAACGAACTTTCTTTAGCTGAGTTTCTAAAGATGTCTTATCTGTGACAAGTATTAGACCGATAGGCCCAATAAATCTCTTGCCATCACCATATGTGTTTATATTGCAAAATTAAACAACCGGAATATCAGTTTCTAGCCCACCACATTTAAAATATAGTATGATGTTCCGAATAATATAACATAGTAGACTTTGTATGTTTCTTTGTAATCATTCTTCATCATGTTTGTGTCATTGAATAGACCATAATGGAAAATAATACATTTTATTTAATTAGTAAAGTACACGTCGATTAGTGCACATTTGTGAAAGTGATGTTAAGTGCACCTAATAATTAACAAGAAAAATTAATAAACAATGAGAAAAAAAGACTAAACTTAATTAGAAGAAATTAAAATTGTTAAAAAAAGCAAAAAGCAAAAAGCAAGAAGAAACGGAAAAAGATACAGTGGGGCCCACAATCAAAGGGCAAAAACCCTCGGAATGTCTGACGTGGATACTATATATAGTTGATCTTTAAATTTTTGATTTTTGTTTTTTTAAAATCCCATATTTAATTTATTCGGCACATGTCACCAATCACACCACCTTAATAATCTCCGCCTCCGTCGATTTGTTGACTCAAATTAAAATAATCTCCGAGAGTTGGCCGGTTCTTCTCCTCAAAGGCCAAAACCTCTTCTCCTCTCTCTAGGGTTCTGCAATTCCTCCCTTTATTTATACAGAATAAATCGATCCGCGATCCATCTGAAAGCGTTTCATTTTCGTTTGTTGAGAAAATGGCGTTCTCTTCTTCTCTCACTAGATCCGCGCCGTCACCTGTTCAAGACACTTTCCGTTTCACCGACCGGTCCAAGGTGTGTGTGTGTGTGTGTGTGTGTGTATTTAACGTTAATATGTTTGTAAATTAAGCTCAGGTAAGCTGCATTTGCATCTGTTCCTTTTTTCTGTTTTTTTTTTTTTTTTTTTTTTTTTTTAATTCAGGCTGCATACTGTATTTGGATCGTCTGTGTGTTTTTTCTTCCCCTTGTGATTTTGTTGTTTTACGAGTAATTTAGCCGCTTTGGATTAATCTCCTTATGTTTTAATTGAATAATTTCCCAATGAATGTTGGTTAATCGATTTTGCATATTGTTGATTTTGCAAAAGTGTTATGAAATGGAATACAAAACGAACTGATTGGATTTGCAATTTGTTTCACTGATTGTCGAAATAATTGAGGTCAACTCGTGAAGGTATACACGGTTCGTTAAGTGTAAGAGCTCACCTCCGTTTGTTGATTATTTGTCACATTCAAACAAAATGAAATTGCAAAATTGTACTGTTGCTTAGTTGATGAATAGAAAGTGCGTTTCGGAAGTACAAGTGAATCGCTTCATGATTATTGCTATTCCTGTCTTTTTTTTTTAATGTTTGTCTTCGATGCATAAACGTGTTTTAAGTTTTCATACTATTAAATGTACAATCTGTCGTAGGTATCATGCGGCCTTAACAGCAATGCTAATGCTGTGAAGTTCCAGTCAAGCATTTTTGGAACTAATGTCTCGGTGGATTCATCATCCCTACAGTTGAGTGAAAGCAAAATCCTCATTATCTAAAAAAAAATTAATCAATATATTTTTATTTCAACTTAGAGTGACTCTAAATTCGAATCATATAGGAAGGTTATGTGCCGAAGTATTAAGCCTATTAGAGCAACAGCAACAGAAATACCTCCAACTGTGACCAGTAAGACCTATACACTTGTTATTTTCGTTTTCTGGATTTCATGGATGTATGTCTTTCAGTTTTTGACAAGCTGCATTCTGCGTGTTACTGAATTCAGAATCGCACAGCAGTGGAAAAACAAAGATTGGTATCAATGGTATGTTTCATAATCCCTATTCTTGTTTTGCCTCTGATAGACTTCATTAACATTATTTCATGTTTCTGCCACTCTCGAATTTCTTATTTTTTCTGATTTTTTTTTTGGTCATCTATTATGTGAATCTACGGTTTGTGAAAATGTATAGCTCAATTTTTTGGTTGGCTATACTCATAATTATTTATAATGAGGTCAACTGTTGAAAAGCACGAGGGTGATATATGACTGAAAAAATCAAAAATATTGTAGGTTTTGGACGCATAGGCAGACTAGTTTTACGCATAGCGACTTTCAGGGATGATATCGATGTGGTAGCAGTCAATGATCCATTCATCGATGCCACATACATGGTTAGTGTGCCTGATCAGCTTTATTTGCATTATTTTACCGGATCCTGTGATTATATTTAGATGTTTTTAGTGAGGTAGATTATGAGAATACTTTGTTGTGCAATGATTGCAACAATCGAACAATTATTTTCTTGGATAATGGTTCTTGATATGTATGTAGTGACACGTCTATAATCCTCTCAGGCATACATGTTCAAGTATGACTCCACTCACGGACCTTACAAGGGAACCATCAAAGTAGTGGACGAATCCACTTTGGAAATCAATGGAAAGCAAATCAAAGTTAGCAGCAAAAGGTAATCACCAAATGTTTCGAATCGGCACTGTTTTTTACTTCCACGCTAATTTTCCAAATCTCTCAATACAGAGACCCAGCAGAGATTCCTTGGGGTGATTACGGGGCTGAGTATGTTGTAGAATCTTCCGGAGTGTTCACCACTATTGACAAGGCATCAGCACACAAAAAGGTTTAGTAAAAAGTGTTTGATTTTTTCTAAGTACAAGGTTTTGCCATTTTAGTGCGAGAAGCATTTATCTCATCCAAGTTTATTGTGTAGGGTGGTGCTAAGAAGGTCATAATTTCAGCTCCATCAGCCGATGCTCCTATGTTTGTAGTTGGTGTAAACGAGAGTACTTACAAACCAAGCATGGACGTCGTTTCCAATGCCAGCTGTACCACCAACTGCCTTGCACCTCTAGCCAAGGTTCTACTAGTACTACTAATATAAGATTGACACCACCTTTTATGATGTCTCTTTTCTTACATAATATTATTATACTTTGCAGGTAGTACACGAAGAGTTTGGCATTCTGGAAGGACTAATGACAACTGTCCATGCAACAACTGGTATGCTTTGCTCATTATTAGTTTTTCTTATGGAATAATCCTCAATCTTCTTCGTGACACTTATTCTCTGTGCAGCCACACAGAAGACGGTTGACGGCCCTTCGATGAAGGACTGGAGAGGTGGCCGTGGAGCAGGGCAAAACATCATCCCTAGTTCTACCGGTGCTGCTAAGGTATTCTTTATTTCTAAAAAAGTTCAATAAAAAAATAATGAGTAAAAAAAAAACGATTTATCCATCACTTCTGCCTGTATAACTATTTTTTTGAATTTAAAAAAATTTAGGCTGTTGGAAAAGTTCTTCCGGAGCTTAACGGTAAGCTCACCGGAATGGCTTTCCGGGTTCCGACACCCAATGTGTCTGTCGTAGACTTAACTTGTAGACTTGACAAGAGTGCTTCTTATGAAGATGTGAAAGCAGCCATCAAGTATGTGAACTTTTATCTCTACCTCTTTTTGTAACTTTTATTTTTATTTTTTATGGAGGAATTCATTTTTTTTTTGTTTCTGAATTAGGTATGCTTCGGAGGGACCACTGAAAGGCATTCTTGGGTACACCGATGAAGATGTAGTCTCCAATGACTTTGTTGGTGATTCGAGGTAAGGATTTTTACCTCTGCTTGCCATCTTTAAAACTTAATCGGGCAGGGAAACCTAACATAGTACTAGATGTTTTTTAATTCACTCGAGTCTGCGATTTTTTTTAACATTAAGCGTTGCATTATTTTCAATTTCATTGGACACATAGTTGACTGGCTTTTAATTTCATTTTGGCTTACTTGTTGTAGGTCAAGCATATTTGATGCCAAGGCTGGAATAGGTCTTAGAGCTGTGTTGGAGGTT